GTTCGCCGTGCCTACCGTGCGTACATCCTCAAGCAGATCGAGTACCACTCCGATGAGTCCGACACCCCTCTCTTCTGCACCTGGGACTTTGCTCTCCGCAAGATTGGCCAGAGTGAGTACGGACTGCCTCTGCAATCCGCGGCGCCCTCCTCACCCGCTACTCCCAGTGGCAGCGGCGGCTCATTCGACTTCAAGCGCATCCACTCCATCAGCGACATGTCCTACCTCAACCACAAGTGGGAGAACGAGCCCAACCGCAAGGGTGTTATCGTCCCTGTCAAGTACCTCGATGATGCTGAGGACTTGCTTGGAAAGGCTCTTGAAACCTTGTCCGTCTCTGAGAAAGCCAGGAAGCGCAGCACCCCTGGTCTAATTCCTGATCTGAGCGGCAAGCGCAAGCCTGCTGCCCCCAAGGTTGACTCTGACGAGCTCTCTGCCGTTATCAACGTCGCTGTCCGCGATGCCGAGAGCAAGAGTGACCAGGAGATTCTGTCTCGCATCGTTCCCATCGTCGAGCAGTACAAGGAGGAGCTTCTCAACCGCAACGTCCGTCGAATCACCTTCATCTGTGGTCGCAACGATGGTGCCTACCCTGGTTACTACACTTTCCGTGGCCCTGAGTACGTTGAGGATGACAGCATTCGTCACAGTGAGCCTGCTCTTGCTTTCCAGCTTGAGCTCGGAAGGCTCTCCAAGTTCCACATCAAGCCCGTCTTCACTGAGAACAAGAACATTCACGTCTACGAGGGTATTGGCAAGGCTGTCGACGGTGACAAGCGCTACTTCACTCGCGCTGTCATCCGTCCCGGCCGTCTCCGTGACGAGATCCCCACTGCTGAGTACTTGATCTCTGAGGCTGACCGCGTTATCAACGACATCTTCGATGCCCTTGAGATCATTGGCAACAACAACTCAGATTTGAACCAGGTCTTTATCAACTTTACGCCTGTGTTCCAGCTCCACCCTCAGGAGGTCGAGAGCAGCCTCCAGGGCTTCCTGGACCGCTTCGGAGCTCGCGCTTGGCGCCTTCGTGTCGCTCAGGTAGAGATCCGCATTATCTGCACTGATCCCGACACTGGCGTCCCCTACCCTCTGCGTGTCATCATCACCAACACCTCTGGATACGTTGTTGATGTCGACATTTACGCTGAGCGCAAGTCTGAGAAGGGCGAGTGGGTCTTCAACAGCATTGGCGGCACCAAGGAGAAGGGTCCCATGCACCTGTTGCCCGTCTCGACTCCCTATGCCACCAAGAACCCTCTGCAGCCCAAGCGTTACAAGGCTCACCTGATGGGTACCCAGTATGTCTACGATTTCCCCGAGCTCTTCCGCCAGGCCATCCAGAATAGCTGGACCCAGTCGGTCAAGAAGCACGGTGCATTGGGCGCTCAGCAGCCCAAGTCTGGCGAGTGTGTCTCGTACACCGAGCTCGTCCTGGACGACAAGGACACCCTTCAGGAGGTCAACCGGGAGCCTGGTACCAACACCTGCGGTATGGTTGGTTGGATATTCAACGCCAAGACCCCCGAGTACCCCAAGGGTCGCAAGTTCATCGTCGTTGCCAACGATATCACCTACATGATCGGTTCTTTCGGCCCCAAGGAAGACAACTTCTTTTACAAGTGCACTGAGCTCGCTCGCAAGCTTGGAATTCCCCGCATCTACCTGTCTGCCAACTCTGGTGCTCGTCTCGGTGTTGCCAACGAGCTCATGCCCTTCTTCAAGGTTGCGTGGAACGATGCCAACAAGCAGGACAACGGCTTCAAGTACCTCTACCTTGACGATGAGGCGCAGAAGCGCTTTGCCAAGGATGTCATCACCGAGGAGATCTCCGAGGATGGTGAGAAGCGCCACAAGATTGTTACCATCATCGGTCAGGAGGACGGCCTTGGTGTTGAATGTTTGAGAGGATCTGGTCTCATCGCTGGTGCGACGAGCAAGGCCTACAACGACATCTTCACCATCACCTTGGTCACTTGCCGTTCCGTCGGCATTGGTGCCTACCTTGTCCGTCTTGGTCAGCGTGCCGTTCAGATCGAGGGCCAGCCCATTATTCTTACTGGTGCCCCTGCCTTGAACAACGTTCTTGGTCGCGAGATCTACACTTCCAACTTGCAGCTTGGTGGTACTCAGATCATGTACCGCAACGGTGTTTCCCACATGACCGGTACGGATGACTTCGATGGTGTCTCCAAGATTGTCGAGTGGATGTCTTTCATCCCCGAGAAGCGTGGCAGCCCCATCCCTGTCAGCCCAAGCACCGATGGCTGGGACCGTGACGTCGTCTACACTCCTCCCCAGAAGCAGGCTTACGATGTCCGATGGATGATTGGCGGTCAACCCACCGACAACGGTGGCTTCGAGGCCGGTCTCTTCGACAAGGACTCTTTCGTCGAGACTCTCGGCGGCTGGGCCCGTACCGTCGTCGTCGGCCGTGCTCGTCTTGGCGGTATCCCCATGGGTGTTATCGCCGTCGAGGCCCGCTCCGTTGAGAACATTACCCCTGCTGATCCCGCAAACCCCGACTCCATTGAGCAGATCACCAACGAGGCTGGTGGTGTTTGGTACCCCAACTCCGCCTTCAAGACCGCCCAGGCCATTAATGACTTCAACAATGGTGAGCAGCTGCCTTTGATGATCCTCGCCAACTGGAGAGGTTTCTCTGGTGGTCAGCGCGACATGTACAACGAGGTCTTGAAGTACGGCTCCTACATCGTCGATGCCCTCGTCAAGTACGAGCAGCCCATCTTCGTCTACATTCCTCCCTTCGGAGAGCTTCGTGGTGGCTCTTGGGTCGTCGTCGACCCCACCATCAACCCCGAGGCTATGGAGATGTACGCTGATGTCGACGCTCGCGGTGGTGTTCTCGAGCCCGAGGGTATCATTGGTATCAAGTACCGCAAGGACAAGCAGCTCGAGACCATGGCTCGCCTCGACCCCGTCTATGCCTCTCTTAAGAAGCAGATGACTGCCGATCTGCCCAAGGAGCAGGCCGACGAAATCAAGAAGAAGATGACCATCCGCGAGAAGCAGCTTCTGCCTGTCTACTCCCAGGTTGCCATCCAATTCGCCGACCTGCACGACCGTGCCGGTCGCATGAAGGCCAAGGGTGTCATCCGTGACCAACTTGAATGGGTCAACTCCCGTCGCTACTTCTACTGGCGTCTGCGCCGTCGTCTCAACGAGGAGTACCTCCTCAAGCGCATGTCGTCGACCGTCCTCACTTCCACCCCGGGCAACGACAAGTCCAAGGCTCCTGAGACCCGCAGCCGCAACCTCCAGCTCCTCGAGAGCTGGTCTGGTGTCGTCAACTTCTCCACTGCCGATCGTGAGGTGGCTGAGTGGTACGAGGCCAACCGCAAGTCTGTCACTGACAGAATTGAGACCGTCAAGGCCGACAACCTGGCGGCTGATCTGAGCTCTGTGCTGAGAGCCAACAAGAGCGCTGCCATGCGTGGTGTTCGTGATGTCATCCGCACGATGCCGCCTGAGGAGCGTGACCAACTCCTCAAGTACCTGCGCGATTAAACATATATGGAGAGTGGTTGGCGTAACGTTTATGGGTGGTGTAAGGGTATAATGGGGGTTTAGACATGTTTTTCTGGGATGATTATGACTATGTACGAGCATTATTCCGCAATTGTGTTTAGATAGATTTCAATGTTGGGACAATACTCCCTTTAATGGACTCCTCTGGCCTACCATGCATGTGATTGTGATACTAGCCACAATGATCTGGAGGGCCTTAGGGCTGATTGACTTGGGTGTGGGCACTCCCCCCCCTGCTTCTCTATGCGCCAAATCCCAACCCCCTTCTTCACCGCATCACCTACCGTGTACTTCAGACATATTTTGGTATCACGAAGGCATCTAACTCGAGTTCGATTTTCGATCCGTAGTCACAGTTCAAGGAAATTGGAAAGACATGAGACCCCACGCAAGCATCATTGTTCTATCTCCCAAAAATTGCAGTTGGTTTTCTCTGTGCCCTCAAGACAGCACAGCGCGCTCCGTAACAATACCAACAAATATCCTGTTACACACAAGATGTAATAACTTCTGATAAACCCCGACCTCGGTCGTCTCAAGCTCCCCGACACTCCCTCATCCACGCCCCCTCACTTACACTTCGGATCGACTATACCCTTAGATCTGCACCTGGCGCTCTCCTTCTCATGGCTTCAGAACGGCGAGGTATCTCAACGAATCGGGAACCCCAGTCTTCTCTTACACCACAACCTGGCCTGGAGAAGGTCCAGCTGCATATGCCGGACTCGCACATGTGGGCGGTTATAAACCGTAGCCGTCGACGTATGGTGATTTGCGTGTGGTCCCTGATTGCTTCTCACTTTCAGGTTGATGTTAACCTACATCGCCCTACGCTTAGCCTGGCGGTCTTCCACCCCCGGCTGCTGAGGCGTATTCGCCGGCGAAGTATCCGGCATGCCGCTAGGTGCTGAAGGAGACTGACTCAGCATGCGAGGATCGACGCAACCGGTCGAGATTACAGAGTGTGACCTCTTTTGGCCTGGGGCTGGCCCGACGATCCTCTGCATTGGAGGCATCCCAGGCATACCCGAAGCCATCTGCGGCGTCTGGGGCCGGGGGCTCTGCTGGACGAACATTTGGCCGTTGAAGATGGGCTGAGGCGGGGTCTGGGGATAGGGGGATCCAGCTGGGGTCCCGACGGAGGGACTGGCCATGGGTTGGAAGGACTGTCCCATGGTTTGGAAATCCAGTCCCGCGTGCAACGAGGGCGCCATCGCAGCCATGTTGGCCAAGTTCCCGAGTCCCTGCTGGGCTCGCATGCCGTTGGGCCCAGCTATGGGTGCCATTTTCATCTGAGGGACCACGGGGCTGGACATGTAGCCGTTCTGGGGTGGTATGCCCTGAGTTGGCATACTCCGAGGTGCCACACCGCCATTTGCCATACCCTGATTTGACATACCCCGAGGTGACATACCCTGAGGTAACATACCTTGGTTTGGCATGCCCTGATACCTCATCTGCGGGTTCAGACCGAAGTTACTGAGGCCAGCCGGTGCTAATTGAGGGACCATAGGGCTGGCCATGTAACCGTTCTGAGGTGTGGTAGCCATGGAGGGCATACCTTGAAGTGACACATTCTGAGGTGCCATGTTCTGATATGTCGTAGTCTGAGACGACATGCTCTGCCAGTTGGAGGACGTGGTAGTCTGCGATAGCATATTCTGCAACCAAATGTCCTGGTCAGTCATCTCTTGGATCGACATCCCCTGCCAGGCCCCATTGGGCATATTGTTGCCCACACGCCTAGCCGCCGGGTTCGGGTTCTGGAAGCCAGGCGCAGGCGCGCCTGGCATCCGAGAGACGCCGAACCCAGTCGGCCCAGCCATGTGGGCATTCTGGGCATTCTGGGTCGGCATGCCGGGGGCCTGGAATACCATACGCTGCTGATGGCTCATGGGCGATGTCATATTGTTGCCCATTGTCATGGTATTCTGGGCGGTATATGTAGGGATAGGTCTCTGAGAGACCTGAGGGATGGCCGTGCAGCCAGTCTGAGGCGGCATCCGAACAGCCGGCGACATTGCACGCTGCTGCTGGATGTTGGGCCCAGAGTTCCGAGGACCTTTGACCGTCTTGCCCTGGCCATTGACAAAGCCGTTATTCCCAGTCTGCTGGCTTCCGAGGACGGGCTTATGTCCTCCAAACTTCGACATATCCATGGGCGGGCGAGGGCGAGAAGATGCCTGTTCTTGAGCCCCGGGGGTAGGGGATGATGCCTTTGCCAACATCCGGGCCTGTATAAGTACTTCCCTCGACGGGAAGACCCCGTGGAGGGGGCGGGGAGCATGCGCCCGCAACGCGTTCAGCGTCGCTTGGTTTGCTCCGCTCAAGGTAGGCCTCATCGGCCGTACCTGTGCCCCCTCCATGGGCGGTGTTGCCGTCTGCGGAACCGCTGGCGGAACCGCTGGGTTGCCGATGGGCGATGACGTGTTGTTGCCCATCACCATCGCCGTGGTATTCTGGGCGGTTTTCCTAGGCGCAAGCTTCTGAGAGATCTGGGGAACGGGTTGCAATTGCTTCTGTTGCTGCAGAAGTGGTGCTTGTGCTGGTAGGATGAGGGGAGTTGATTGTTTGACAGTCGTGTTGGCAGCGGGTGAAGGGGAATCGCCTTCAATAACGGGTTTCTCGGGGGTCGGCTGAGACAGAGCAGGGCTTGGGAGGTTGCCCCCTGTTGGGAGAATTATAGTAGGATGATTCTTGACGAGACTCATATCGGGAGAAGGGGGAGCCGAAGGACCGCCAAACAAATTGTCCAAGTCGTCATCTGTAGCTTCGTCTGCCTCGGGCTCAGGGATGTTGGCGGGCATGTGGTCGTCGACGTGCTGGACTCCTTCAAGAGTAGCTGTAACTGGCTGAGGCTCGGGCTCTGCAGCAGCCACAGGTTCGATAGGCTGCGGCACCTCGAGGCCTTCATCATTGTCGGAAGCCTGGTTGGAGTCGTCCGCGATGACGATGGTGCTAGCATGGCCTTCGCCTCCAGAGTGGGCTGGAATAGCTTTATTCGTCAACGCGTTTGTCGCCTTCTCGGCCGTCCAACGTCCCAGCTGTAGCCCGAAATCTCGATCTATACGTTGCCCTCTCAGGCGGATACCTCGACACATTACCATATCCCAAAGATCGCAGCTGGTATTGGAGCATCTGTAGACGCCACTTGGATGTTTTCGCTCTTCTGTACCGTGGAGAAGAATCATCTTTGAGGGTCCGGGGCACACGACGCCAGTATCGACGAAGTTTTGGCAGTATCGGACCGTGTCTCTGGGCCACTTACACTCGCAGATGTATTTCTCAGAAATGCACATCTTGGCGGTTACGGTGGGAAGTGGTCAATATTGAGTTGTGTGTGGTGATTGCGCGAGGATTGATGAGGGTTGGTTCGCGGAATTGGGCACGCGGAAATTGATAAGAGAGAAGATTGAATCGGGCCGGCCGCAGAGAATTATTGTGAATGGAGGTTTGGCGTAAGTCGTAAGGTTGTATTTGAGGAGGGCGGGTCCTGTGGTGGAAGGATGGGAAGAAGGCAATGAAGTAGTTACTGTAGAAGTAGAGGGTAAGTGGGATGTACGAAGTGAGAGAGAGGTGAAGGTCTGGGAAAGAAGAGAAGAAAATCGTGGGAAGAAGGGTGCAAAGATAGAGCAACCGGAGATATACCAAGAGAGTTGAGTTTGAGGCTGATGAGAGAAAAGTGGCCATCTCCGGTAGGGCATCTATCTCCGACGACGATGGTGAATGAGACGCCATGTACGGTATCTACGACTAGGTGAATCAGTGGCTACCGGAGATCGATCAAGGTGAACGAGAGCCCTCAGGATGCCTTAAGTGAATTTGGACAAATTCAACCTGAGCGAATACGACACCTCTTCTGCTATCGCCCAGAGGTGAATACCCGGTGCTACAATCTTTTGACCTTGATTTAGGGCTGGAGTTTTCGGAGATGGCTATCCTTGTTTCGAGCGAAGTCTGATATCGGGACTTACACTGTGAAGACGAGATAGAGATAAGCTTATGGCCCGAGGCCAAGGGGATACGGAGGACTGATCTGGACTAGACGTCGTGCGAACGGTCAGGTATAGACAAGGAGGTCCATGAGGGAGATAATTGGGCATCTTTCACACTGATTACATTCCGCTCCATCATCGAAACTGAGCACTGCTTCAAGGCATGTCTCCCACCACGAGGGTGAGAAAGAGAGCAACTTGAGAGTAAGACTACTTCGTAGATATAACACCAGGATAATAGGAAATCCTCACACATTAAGTAGTTTGACTTCCGGTCCCCGGCCTGCTAACGCTTCATGAACCAAATTACCCGCCTCAAATCCACAGGGTCATTGTATAGGAGACGATGAGACTCGCTCAAACCTCAAACAAATCAAATAAAGGAATCGTACTGTTGCAAGTAAGCCCATTATAATCCCGACAAAGATTCTAGGACAATAATTTCCCAAGGAAAGCCATGCGTTACGGCTATAGTGACCCGGCCAGTTTGAGTATCTCTTGTGCCGTCTCCTCAGATTTCTCAATGTTGACCCAGTGGCCCGCCCCGGGAATGATGACGGACCCCCTCCAGCAATCAGATCCAACGCTATCACCGCTCTCCATGGCCTCAAGAGCGCCGGGAACTTGGTACGTACCCCAGTCGTGTGTCCCAGAGACGTACTTTGTCGGGATCGCGAGCTTTGTTCCCGCAAAACAGAGGAGGTCTGCGGACAGGGCCGGGTCTATGAGAACTTTGTACCACAATAAAGGGAGTCGGAACGTGTTTCGGGAGTACTCGTCCACATATACTTGCAGTTCCGCGTCAGTGAGCCATGGTGTTTCACTGAGTTTGGCTCGTACGTCGGCCGACTCTTGTGCCATGCCCAGCTCGATGTTTCCGCGCATCGATAGGTCGGCTCTCATGACATAGTAGTGTGGCATGACGGAGATCTCTTGCGCGGTCCAGGATTTGAGGGGTCGAGGCTTGTTCAGACTGTAGTCTGCGGATTTGAGATGGAAATACCCCCGGAGAAACTCGTGCATGGGCTGGCCTGTGGGATGAGTCCATTCGTCGACTGCTCCTGGCGAAGCGTTGTAGTACTTGTAATGCTTTCTTGGTGGGTCAAGCTTCAGGAGTGAGGATTGTATGTCACTGTCATTTTTGATCACCTTAGCCCCATCATCATGTTTCATCCGAAGCAAAGAAGCTAATTGCGGTGCTGCTCCCGTTCCTGAGGGTAGTTGTGGAGATCCCTTGAACGGATGTGCCATCAGGACCAATGACTTGATCATATCTGGCCGCGTTATAGCGCACATAGAAGCCACGAACGCCCCTAGGTCGTGCCCGACGAGAGTGTGAATGGTCTCGTAGCCGAGTGCGTAGACCAGAGTGACTACATCTCGCAACGCGGTGAGAGGACGGATGGTTTCTTCGCTGATCGGACTGAGATTGGCGTTATGGGTTCGACCGAAGCCTCTCATATCGGGAGCGACTGTGTAGTATCCGGCTGCGGCGAGCTTCGGCATGACAGCAGACCAGTCAAAGGATAGGTTTGGGAAGCCGTGAAGAAGTAGGATCAGGGGCGGGGGGGTCTTGGCTGAAGAGTCCTTTGGGAGAGACTCGAGAATATGGAACTTCAATCCTACGGGTGAAGTGTCGACATAGCGAGAGGTGACGCCGGGGGGGAGATCCCACGGAGGCAGTTGGGCTGGATCCATCGTGCCCGGGAATGATCGACCAGAGTCAGTCAGTTGGTACGGGTTATTGCAGCTAGGGATTAAGCAGGCTCTGATACATAATCAGCGTGACAGAAGTTGAGGGCTCGAGAGGCTTTTCAACTTTCATTGGCCATGTTCAAGCAGATGATCGCGTACCTCGGTAATTGATGGGGAGTTGGAGAACTACGTCACGCGAGGGCAGCCACAATATGCGGACGAACCAAGACGCCGATTTCTCCTCAAGCGGCGTATCAACGGCGACTTTTCGTTTGAATTACTCAGCTCTGACAAAATCATGCTTACTATTGTTCCGAATTTTCGGTTCATTCAACTGCCGCCGTATTGCCATCTATCACAAAACTGCTGAATTGAACCTTGGAACCGACGGCTTCCTCCACCAAAGCGTGCGCAAAGACACCAAAGATCGGACCTGTCATCTCTCTCTCAACCAAGTCGGCAACTTGCGCCCTCCCCGCTTCTATCCAGTCTCCCAAATCGTTCTCACGATACGAAAATGTGTACTCCCGCGCAGTTGCTTCCAGACGCATTCCCAGGACAGTTGTGTCAACGTGGACTGGGATGGAAGTTGACTGAAGCTTGTCCTCTGATGTTGTTGTCACTTTGAACAACAGTTCTGAAGACCCGAAGTCAAAAGAAAGAGAGACGTGCCGCGGTGCATCCTTATAAATGGCGAGCCCAGCTCTTACAGGCTTCCCTCGTGTGGCCCTGGCAACTTTGAGTCTTACCGAAGCAGAGGCATCAATAGATCTCTGTCGCTTGCCGACAAATGTGCCGGTAGCGGTAGGAGTCGATAGGTCGCTAGCACTGCACTGCAGCGTGAAGTCATTCGCGCCGCTGATGTGGTACCTGTCGAACTCAGGATCGCGGATGTATACGAGATCAACACCTGCCAGAGCCTCGTGGATCAGTGATTTACTGCCACCAACAGGGCCAGAAAGAATACGCTCTAACTCCATCGCGGGTTGCTGAATCGTTGGCCACCCGTCTTCCGGCCATTCGACCGCGGTTAGAAATGTTTCCCGCCCAAGCGGCGGACGACCGTTCTCGTTCCGCACACCAAGGACGGCAGCCCACCAAGCGCCGCTCTGGTCCTGGAACAACTCGCCATGGCCAATATTCTGAATGTAATCATCTGGTTTCCCATCGGCAGTCATGATAGGGTTCATCTCGCAGGACTCGTAGGGTCCCCAGATGTCTTTTGATCGTCCGATGCTCAACATGTGATGCTCAAAGGTGCCGCCTTCAGCGACGAGGAGGTAATAGTAGCCTCCTCGCTTGTAAATATGAGGACCCTCGGTATCGTAGCGTGCAAAGCCACCCCAAATTTCGCAAGTGTCGCTTATGGCCTTGCCCGTTGCGATATCGATCTCGAATTGCTTGATCGTGCAGCTGGGTTGCCTGAGGCGGTCTATCATCCAGCACCCCTGGACGTAGGCGCGACCGTCGTCGTCAAAGTACAGACTGGGGTCGATGCCGTTGAAAGGGAAGCGAGTTGGGTCGGACCATCTACCTGACCAGATATCGGTAGTGGAAATGTAGAAGTTGTCCAGGGCGAAGGTGTCCTGGTTGTGCGTTGCATTTGTGCAGATGATGTAGAAAGTGCCTTGGTGATAGCGTATGGTTGGTGCAAAGAGGCCGGCACTGGCGACCATGATGTTCCCTGTATCCAAAGGCATCACTGATGTGCTCGCATGCTTGAGGGAGATCTGCTCCTTGCGATTGATTGCGTTGCCTTGTCGTCAGTAAGCACATGTACGTGGACCGTCCTTAGTGAGGCGCTGGCTGCGTAGCGCATGCATCTCTACTTACCCATGTGCTTCCATTCTTGAAGATCCGTTGAGGCGTAGATAGGTAGCCCAGGAAAGATGTGAAAGGATGAAGTCACCAGGAAGAAGACTCCATCGACAAACACAATCGATGGGTCTGGCGCGAACCCAGGCACAATTGGGTTGGTGACACTGCACTTCGTTCCCATCGTTGCGACTCAGCTCATTAACGAATCAGATGACTGACAACTGAACAATGAATTGTAATGAAGTGATCACACATTCATGGCCCCAGCAAATTCAACTTTATAGCCACATGCCGTTCCCATGGGAACATCTGATCAACTTGGGGGACCTGGGCCCAAGATGGGGAAGTGGACCAATCCGCCGCGGAGAATTGTAGACCACACCACTACCCCGATCCAAATTGCCGACGAACGCTTTCACAATCATGACTCGCGATCGTTGCTCAGCTCGTCTGATATTCTGGAGTTTAGCCGGGCTAGAATGTCTAACAGCGTACCAAAGAGGGATCTAGCACGAGTGGAGATGGCCTCGTTGCCGACATTGTGGATAATTTCGAGGAGAGCCACGCCGACTTGTCGGAGCTTTTCAACCTGTTCAAAAGTCAGTACCTGTTTCCAACTCAAGTTTAAAAGAGGATTGTGTTTACACAAGGCTCTCCGTTGGCTTGTAGGGCCTCAAAGGGAATGTCAGACACAGCCTCCAGGAGATCGCTCGCTATCTCAACTTTTCGCATGGCAAGCATTACTGGGTCATCTATTAGCCCCAGAACCTCGATGAAGCCTCGTTCAGAGAAGCGAGTTAGGAGGACGAGGCGCAACATATGGAATGTGACGAATAAGTTGGCTTTCTGAATGAATATTGCGCGGACTCGGAACTGGGCTGTTGACTCGCTGATCGTTCCCGAGACTGCATCTTTGGGATCACGGACCCAGGCTGGACAACTGTGTAGAATACTAGTGAAGTCAAAGTATGACTGCGTAGTAGATTTCTTCAACTCTGATGCATCGTTCGAAGTTCCTGAGGGAATTGATCCAGTTTTGCAGTGTAGGCGTGAAAGGAGGTTTAAGTCGACGAGCATCTCGGAAGCTGTGTACCAAAGCTGGAAGCAAAGGTTGAAACATAGACGTAATCGGCACTCAAAATCGGCAGTATCATCGATTTCGGGACCGGCCTGAAGGAGTTTGCAATCCTCAGTCTTGTCAAATAGGGTGGTAATAGGCGTGTCCAGACACATCTGATGAAGCGAGATGGGAACTTTGTTAAGAATCGAAGCAGACTTATCCCCAATGTAGAGATGCCAAAAGGTGTTTCTCCTCAGCTGAGCCTCGGGCCACTCGAGACCGCTGAAGGATGCCTCATCGTACAATCGCATCTCTTGCACCAGTCGAAGTGCCTCGCCCATGGCGTGCCATGACACGCTTGTCTTTCCGAGAGCATGTAATGAGTTGGAGTGGAAATACCGGATGATTATTGAGCCCGATTCTGGGTGTTCGATGTCGTAGTCTTGGTAGAGACGAAGAGCCTCTCGGGATGTCCTGAGGAACGGCATTGCAAGTGCCGCGCCACCGGGAAATATCTCAGCTGGTAGAGTGGAGGAGACGACAGCGCAGAGGGCCGTGATGAGGGCAAAAGCCCGGATGGTTGGAATGTCTGAGGTGGTAGGGCTAGTTGTCAGGTCGCTAAACAATGAAGTCTCTCTCCGGAGGATTGGGACCACGCCATACATCATTTGCCGGACCATCGGTTCGCAGATGATAGGGCTAGTTGGGAATTCCCACTGCAGGTAAAGATCAATGCAGGAAGACAGAACGTCTTCAAGTGGGACGTATGGCAGGGCTTTCCCCAGAGCTGAGAGAAGATCGCCAATGGCTGCGTCGAATGGAGCATGGATGCAATTCTTCTGTGGGTGACTGCAACCTAGAGGTAGATTTTCCTTTGGTGGACTGTCAACTGAGGAATCTTCAACTTGAGAACCAGCAGCTTGAGAGTGCTCTGAGACAGACACCACTCTATTCAACTGGTTGTCCTTATCTCGAGTTCTGATCTGATCTGTTCTGTGAACCCGAAAGGGCGGTCCCCGTTTCTTTGCCGGAACTGTGTATTCGCAAGTCATGGAAGACATCAGGCAATTGGAGCACTGCGGGCTCTGTGCATCGCACTGCGTATGTACACCATGTCGCATTTAGCCTACACTCCCATGTAATTTGATGTTGAAATGTCATACCTTGACCTTCCGCCGTCTACATCCATCGCAGGATCGCTTCGTCATTGAACCAAGTTGCCGGGTAAGAAAATCGGACTGCCTCTCAGAAGAGTCTTCGGCAATTCTCCGATGTGCCGAGGAAAGTTGAAGAGGGGGGAGATGAATTGTCAAGCAAACTTGACCGGGGAGGGACTAACACTAAATAATTCGCCGCGGTGAATTAGCTTGACCATTCACAGCATTAAACACGACGGGTCTGCGGGGGTAGCATTGAGCTGTGGGGTAAGAGACTCGGAGGTGGGCGCAACCCATGGGGTAACATGTGGTTTCGGTATCAACTAGTTGGATGCGGGAGTAACCTTGGATCGCATTGATATAGACTAAGGACTGGAGCTATAAGTAATCGGGGGTTTTTCTGATGGCTTCGGTTTCTCTCTCGTCAATCTCGAGACAACTCGAGGATCGTATCACTCGGTTCATTCCATTGCCAGCGCCCTTCTCGCATCACGGACTTTCTCTAGAGGCATTTGTTACCTTTTGCGGCTGGGAGGCAAGTTGACTACAAACACAATGACAGTGGTTCCAGAAAAGCCGGCAGGCTTCGCTGAGCTGTCCAAGAACAAGAGAGTGTTAGCGTGGTGTAAGCAACTCTTATGGCCTTTATTTTTCTCCCACAGCAACTGAATCTGACCGCATCACATCAATAGGCCTTCTCATTTTCATTCTACCTATCAACTTCGGGTACGAACTTGCACTCGTCGGCAACATCCTCGCTATTCCTGCCTTCCTCGATCGCTTCGGAACGACCACGGCCTCCGGCATCAAGGAGATTCCGACCCAAGATCAGCAAATACTCAATGCCTCTACTACCGTCGGCATCGTGCTAGCAGCATATTGCACCGGATTCATCTCGGACATCATCGGACGCCGCATGGTTGTCATCTGCGGTTGTGTTCTTTGCATTGCCGGTATCATCGTTCAAGGTTTCTCGAACTCGATTTTGATGCTATTTGGCGGCAAGCTCATCAGCACCGTTGGGTACGGTTTGGGCCACGCACTGGGTCCCGTATACGTCGCCGAGATTGCACCGGACGCTTTACGCGGAGTATGTCTCATTCTCATCAACACCATGATCGTCATCGGACAGTGGTCCTGCGCTCTCGTCGGCTACGGCGGGTCTTTTATCAAGAGTGACTGGGGCTGGAGGTTGCCTGTACTCGCACAGCTGGTGCCTCCAGTCTTGATGCTGGTGCTTGGTGGAATCTTGCTTCCAGAGTCCCCATCTTGGCTGCTGATGATGGGAAGACGCGAAGAAGCCGGGAAGTCACTGCGAAAATTCAATGGCCCGAGACACAACGTAGAAGAGACCTTGGCAATCATTGAAGCAACACTTGAAAAGGAGAAGGCATTAAGCAAAGGTGGCGCCTCATACTTCGACTGTTTTCGGGGCACCAATTTGCGCAGAACCACAATTGTTTGCATGGTGTATTTGACCCAGCAATTTGCTGGTGCTCAGCTGGTTGTGGGCTACCTCTCATAGTCAGTGCCACTCTCCATGAAGTGATTCACTTGCTAACAGAATTGTTTGACAGTTTCTTCACTATTGCTGGAGTGGGTAACCCTATCGGTATTGCCCAGGTCTGCTACAGTATTCAGCTACTTGGCAACATTTGTTCGTGGTTCTTGGTAGAAAGAGTCGGTCGCAGACCACTGATAGTCTGGGGAACTGTGGCTATGACGGCGCTTCTACTAGTGATCGGTGGCCTGGGTGTTCCCAAAAGTAATCAGAACGCTCTTACTGCCATGGTTGCACTCATGGCTCTTTGGGGATTCATTGTAAGTCAAATCAAACCAAAGGATCCTTCTTTAATTCCCTTTCTTCCGTCACTAACAGGCGATGTTTAGTTCCAACTTTCGATCGGTGCTATCGGATATGCCGTCGGTGGTGAGACTGCATCCCCTCGTCTTCGTCAAAAAACGTATTCTATCAACGTGATGAGCAACACAGCGGCGGCATGTCTTGTCACGCAGCTTATGCCGTTCTTGATCAACCCCAGCAACGCCAATCTCGGAGGCAAGGTTGCTTTCGTTTTCTTTGGACCATCGCTGCTGTGTTCTATCTACCTCTACTTCTGCTTCCCAGAGATGAAGGGCCGCAGTTATTTGGAGCTGGAGAACATGTTTCAGAAGCGTTTGCCAACTCGAGCATTCAAGAACTACCATTCAGAGATCGAGACTGTCGAGGTGGATGATGGGGAGAAAGTTGCGGTGGTCCTGAAGGATTAATGAGTTGGCAAGACATGCCGCGGCCATTGTTCTGCTACCTATACAACGCAAGGTCTACCGTAGCAACAAGTATTAATGGGTATCAACGCAGTTCTTGGAATCTAACCAGATTCAGCGTACCTGGCCCCCTTGCACGGATTTTCTCTGCGTTTCGAGATGCAGTCTTTATAAAAAATCTCTGAGTAGATCGTTGACACGATCTACCGATCAAGTGGGGTCTGATGCCGTACCCGGGTTCCGTAATGCCCGGAATCCGCTGCGGTCGGTGCTTCCTTAAAGTAGTTCTCAGTGCTCACCCTAGCTTTTCCCTCATTTTCTCTCTACTACTTGAGCCTAGTCGGTAGGTTGCCGTAATAGCCGATTCCACTTCGCAAACCTTGGCCTCTTTCATACCAAACACGCGGGTTCCACAAAGCCAAAGACAGCCCTCGGCCAGGCCGACGGTTCGTAAGTTCACTAATACGATAATCGTAGAGACCCTTTTCACTTTCGCCCCGCCTAGGAAACCTCCCACCGGGATGGAGCTCCTCCTATAGATGCCATTTTGGGTAATATCTCCAGGACCATTACATAACGCGACGAAAGAGGGAGCCAAAGACAAGAAATAACGTATTGTCTGCAGGGCTTAGTCCAACAGTTTAAAGCAACACCCATAATCGCTACGTTCTAGTTCCTGAAAATTACTAACTTTTTGATTAATTCGAAGTCAAAATTTTACATCTTTTTCCGTGATCAATGTCGACCGAGTTCCCGCTTCAGCAGCACCGGGCCGGCGGTGGTCACCCAAGCGGCGAGCGCAAAGGTGTGCAAGAGAAGCTAGACGAATCTCTACTGGGCCACCTATCCCAGCTTTTCAACAAATATGCTACCGCGAACAACACATGGACTAGAGATCAGATCAGCATTTTCATGCAGCACGTGCAAGCTGAGGATCCCAACGGTTTGGCGGGTTACCTCATCGACAAAGACGAGTTGGACCTCTTCGAGCTGATCAAGTACATCACCTCACCATGCGGCAATGTTCTCGAGATGGCGGCTCCTCAGGACCTGTCCTGGCCGCTGAGTAGCTACTTCATTAGCTCGAGTCATAACACCTACCTCACCGGAAATCAACTTTCCAGCGACTCCAGCGCCGAAGCATATAGAGACGTCCTACTCCGTGGATGTCGATGTATCGAAATTGACGTCTGGGACGGCGTGGAGCAATATAAGCCCGGATACAACCCAAACGGAACTGATGAGAACAGCAAGCAGCCTACGCCCGCGAACGACACACCGACGAAGCTCAGTCGAAGAGACAAATTAGGCATCAAGGTCGGTCGTTGGATCATGAATAAGTTTGAACCGGTGGACGCGGAGGGCAGGACCGCCGACGACAGGCTTTCGGACATTATCAGGGCAGAGCCGCGGGTTCTTCACGGGTTCACTCTCACCAAGGAAATTCTCTTCCGCGACGTTTGCCAAGTCGTCAGGGAATACGCTTTTGTCACATCGGAGCTGCCACTTATTGTTAGCCTGGAAGTGCACTGCACTCCACTGCAACAGGCCGCCATGGTCGACATCATGGAGGAAATATGGGGAGAGTTTCTCCTCCCTGTGCCCGAACTAGATCCCGCTTCTCTAGCCTCGCCCGAACAGCTGCGCAAGAAGATTCTTGTCAAGGTCAAATACGTGCCAAACGACAAGGACGGTGCCGAAAGCGTCAATGAAGGCTTCGACGACAATGACAGTAGCATTCTGGAAGTCACGACGACGGAAGGAGGAGAAAAGAAGGCGGCGAAGGTCAAGCCGCCCAAGGTCATCTCTCGACTTAGCCGCTTAGGCATCTACACGCGTGGCATTACATTCAAGTCTCTTGAGCAGGCCGAGGCATCGATGCCGAATCATATCTTCTCCCTTTCGGAAAAAGCAGCATTTGCTATCCAGAGAAGGATGCCAAAGGCCTTGTTCACGCACAACAGGGACTTTCTCATGAGGACGTACCCACACGGTATGCGGGTTGACTCTTCCAACTTTGATCCTGTCATCTTCTGGCGAGCTGGTATTCAGGTAGTCGCATTGAACTGGCAGTCTTGGGATGTGGGTATGGTTCTCAACGAAGGCATGTTTGCGGGCTCAGATGGGTACATTCTCAAGCCTAATGGTTACCGACGCGACCCTACCGGCGAGTCGGAGGAGGATGATATGGGGTCCAGCATCGAGAGCAAGAAACTGGACAGAGTCGCTGTCACAGTGCTGGCGGCTCAAAATCTCCCTCTTCTCAATCCGCGTGATGATCCTACAAAATTCATACCTTACGTCAAGGTTGGCTTGCATACCGAGCCAGATGCGCTGACGGCCATGGTGCGTGAAGATGCGGACGGAGAGCAAGTTACACAGATTGGCTACAGCGGCCAGACGAGTAAGAGTACTGGTACCAGCCCTAATTTTGGAGGCGAGGTGATCGAGTTCCTTAACGTCGAGGGCGTTGTTCCCGAGCTGGCTTTCATCTCCTTCATCGTCATGAACGATGTCGTTGGCCCGGATGTTATGACTGCGTGGGCATGCGTTCGCTTGGATAGGCTGAGGCTCGGATATCGCTTCGTCAGGTTGCTCGAGAAGGACGGCATGCCAAGCAAAGGTATCCTTTTGATAAAGACGGAGATAACGGAGACTGGAGTAGCGTAAAAAAACCAATGAAATAATGTTCCTTCTTCGTGGTGGAGCATTGAATCACTGTGGTGAGACGTTGAGATCGCATTGGACCTTTAGAGCCGGCAGAGTCAACTGCGTCGTTATAATCGTATGAGGCCTCCTGTGAGATGCTGGGATAAGAGGGGTCCGGCATTCGATTGGACAATGGCGATATCGATGTAGATTGGTGTTGTGTAGTCAAAAAGCCGCGAGACTCTGCCGCAAGACGGAGACTCACCGCCGAGGATGGAAATCTTTACTTGCAGGCGGCTTCTCTCCGATACGCGCTTGCTGCCGCCTGATATCGATTCGCTCTTGGTGTGGTCAAGACGCATCCTTTGACCCACACTAAGTCGGGTTGCGTGCTCGACTTCCAACAAGACGCAATGCCACCCATCTCAAGGCGCCATTGTTCAACGGGCCGAAACACAATAAATTGACGCCAAACCAGCGGTGTTGAACTAAAGTGTCTTCTTTGATGGGATTCTATTGTCTATCAAGAGCCTCGGAAACTCAGGAGTTGCTGTACATTGAGACTTTTGACAACTAGTAAGCAGTTAAGCACTATCTTCATTTCTATTTCTGCGACTTTGCATTGGGTTGTAGATAGAGTTCAAACGAAATGACGGGCAAGATCCGGAGAGTAGCCGTAATCGGCGCTGGACCATCAGGCGCAATTGCTACAGATGCCCTGGTCAAGGAACAAGCTTTTGACACAGTCCGAGTCTTTGATCGACGACCCATCGCGGGAGGAACCTGGTAAGCTCAACACTTGTTCTCCTTAGTTCTACAAGACTTCTGACATTGCCATAGGATCTATACTCCGCACTTGCCCGCTAGTATCCCATCTCTCAAGACTCTCCTAGATGGCAAAGCCGATGCTCTCGTTCCAATTCCACTTCAACTCCCAGCCCAGACGCCCAAGTCAGAGACCGTAAATAGTCACCAGATCCGATTTTCAGATACAGCTCAGCATGAACATCTCCACACCAATATTACCCCAGAGATTATGAGCTTTACCACTGAGCCCTTTCCGGAAACTCTGACAGATCGGATCCGAGAGAAATATGGTGATGATGCTCCTTTCCGCGGTCGGGAACAAATTCGAGAGTGGGTTGAGAACATCTTCGTCCGCAATGGGCATGAAAAACTGCTCGAACTCAGTACTACTGTCGAGCTTGCAACCAAAGAGGGCGACGAATGGGTTCTGACACTGAGAAAAGAGCTTCCTGGAAAAGATTACTGGTGGCAAGAGAGGTTTGATGCGCTCATTGTAGCAACCGGGCACTATAACGTACCCTGGCTACCAAATATTGAGGGGATCAAAGAATATGACGAGAGGTTTCCTGGCCGTATCGTACATAGCAAGCACTTCAGAGATTCCGACAAGTACAAGGGAAAGGTAAGTAAATGCTCTTAATAAAATACCTGCACCCGATGGAAATCTGACACTAACGGGATTCACAGAAAGTCATCGTCGTTGGAGGTTCAGTGTCGTCTCACGAGATCCTTCACGAAGTTCTCCCAGTTGCCCAACATCCGGTCTATGCTTCACTTCGCGGGGAGCCGCTGCCTCACTTTGGCTGGGCTCCTTTCACACACCCCCACATCTCCGTCCAGAAACAGATCGTCCAGTTCGATTCACATAACGGCGCGATTACCTTTGAAGACGGTACCATAGTTGAAGGTGTAGATTATGTGGTCTTTGGGACTGGCTTCACCTTTAGCTTCCCCTTCTTGCCCGAAGTGCAAGAACGCATGCGCCAAGCTGACCGTCGGTTGTCGGGAGTTTACTTCCACATTTGGGATATCGAAGACCCAACCCTCGCCTTCTTAGGCATGGTAAGTCATAGACCGCCCTCTTAGATGAAAAGCCAAGGCTAACAAACGTGGCCTAGTGTGGAGGTGGATTTACTTTCCGTCTCTTTGAGTGGCAGGCTGTAGCAGTCGCCCGTCTTTTGGCAGGCAGGGGCAACCCCTTGCCGCCAAAAGAAGAGCAGAAGCAGTGGGAGAAAGACCGTGTTGCCGAGTTCGGCGGAGGAAAGGATTACTACACCATAGCACCCTTTTACAAAGAGGTATTCGAGTACTTCAGATCAGTGGCAGGGGACCCAGCGCCCGGAACAACAGGTCGCGTATTGCCACCTTTCGACGAAAAGTTGCTCGACATATGGTTAGCTATGGGATCCGCGAAAGCCAACTTTTGGGAAGACTCTAGGAAGAAAGCAGAGGCTGAGCTGAATCAACAGCCCATTAGATCGAGGTTGTAGAATTTACCAGACGCATCGGCGCCACGCGTTTTGGCGTTGCCGTATCCCATATTCGTTGAATCAAGGTGTTTTGGTGCGCGTACACGCTCAAGGTGTATCTTGAACTTGCATCTCAAACTCTAGTGACATTCATTTCCAGTAGTGATTGTTCACTGCATCATCTGAAAGCTTTTGTTGATTGATAATATCAACGCTGTTATTGCCACCAGAATGACACGATAGGAGCCCTGTAATGATAACCCCCTTAATTCTCGTCACGATCCAAGCCAACGCGTCGCTATGCAAATTTTCCGCTGCGAAAGCCAATGGCAGAGCTTACGGGAGTAGCTTCCTCCAGAGAGCCATACAATCAAATCCTACATCGCGACTGTCAGTCAACCTTACTTTCTCGATGGCTTGATCGCTCCAACCACAGCAGCGAGCATTTGTCCAGTAGTCTTCAAGAAACCTTGGGCCTTTCCGTTTTGAACCTGTGTAGGCGTGGTCGCGATGGGAGGAGCTGGTCTGCAGTCGCGACACAAGCCCGCTCCACCTGGCAGCTTCTCATCCTCGCAAGTCTCGCGATACTAGCAGTCGAAACCAGAGAGGACACATTTGTCGCAGCGAAGGACCGCGACATGGCCGATGCGATGGCCGCAATCAAACGTGTAATACATGTTTTGACACATTATGGAGGGAGTCTAGGAGTAGCTGCGTAAGAAAATCAGCATAGAATAAAAAAAGTCTCTGTTTGTTTTGCGCCCTGCTTACTTCACGTTGGTCTGGCTCGTAGCTATGAGAATGATAGTCACAACAAGCTTGTTTTGTGAAAACTGCGTGCGTGATCTGCAACTATTTGCTCTAGTGAGGGCGCATACTTTTGGCAAGATTGACGTTTTGTTTGTGCGAGAGGAAGGAGAGGATAAGTTGGCTCGGACAGGTAGAAGCTGGCTTTCGTAGAGCTTTTTAAAAGGAATTTAAGTGAGCGCAATCAGTAGGCAGTACCTCTCCTTTCCTTGTGTCTGTGAAGAACTTCACCTTTGCTTGCGTCTGGTCAAATCGTGGGCACCTTTGTTGATCCACATTAAGGGCCATAATCAACTGCTTCACCTTGCATCCGAATTAGGCAATTTGCGACACTCTTTTCACCACCTCGAATAATTCACACTTGTATGATTTGTCTGGGTCCAGGTATTTCCATGGTGTGATTTCAATATTTCAAATAATTTAGGATGGCAAAGAGGAGAGAGCAAAGGGACTCGTTGCGAGTGCACTTGAAATATGCTTGTCAAGCCACACTTTTGAGACACCCCAGGTCGGCCGTGGCTGGGGCTCAAATACCTGGCGACGCCAAAGCCAAGAGGTGCCGATTATTCACCTTTCGTTTTCCCTCCCTTTCTCCAGAGCAACTACACCACCACCTCATAGCGCGACATCGACTTACACTATTTTCGCTATGCTATTTGATGGCAGTAGGATCGCAAGAGCGGGCGACAAAAGGCGGCGCGACGAAGAGCTTCCTCGCGGTGATCGCCCCCATCAAGTTCGTCGACTCCATGGCTCACAACATGAGCCGGCCCGCCCACCTAGTGCAGCGGACTTTGCCGATCTGCGAGCTCGAGTTGATGCGATTGAAAAAGGATTCAGCAATAATCGCCATATCCCCAATGGCGACGACGAAGGGCCGATGCTGACGCCGTCGGATAAAATTCACCTCATCGATGATCCCGACGGCAGATCTTCGCTAAGCGCCATGTCTCGGGAGACTCAGTCCCAACATATCAACAGCGCTTTTCCAGCTTCTGCTTTTCTCGACGGCGATTGTTATCATGCTGAGTCGTCTCTTGAAGAATTGTATCAACCAATTATCTCAATACCTGAGGTAAGACCATCAGCTTAGTTCCCACATAGCACAACAGCTAATACTATGGACAACTCAAAGGCTGTGCTATCGATCGTTAATGAGAATGATAAAGTCAAAAGCGCCTGCGACGAGTACTTCAAAACCTTCCACGTCTGGTTTCGGTTCATATCCACCAAGAAGCAGCTGAAAGCTCCATTTGCTAAGAATTGTAAGCCGGACATAATAGCGCTTGCTCTGGCAATGAGACTTGTTACGTCCAACCCTGACGATGGTACTTGCAAAGAACTATATGACCATACCAAAGGGTTCTTGGACATCCTCGTGGCTGGCGGAGTTGTGTCACTGCCGGTTCTCCAAGCAATGGTTCTTGTTGCGCTTTACGAATATTGCCACGCGGTCTACCCTGCCGCATGGATGAGCATTGGATTGTGCACTCGGTACATCGAACTTGTGGGCGTATCCTGGGCAACAAGTGACACGGCTTTCCATGGATCAACTGATACCGTCGCGTTAAGAAGGCCTGTAAGTTATTGTCTGACGCTCTCAAAGTGTTCATTAATGGCGAAACTGACATTTACTGGACAGACATTGTGGTTCGAAACAGACAATGAAGAAAGAAGGAGGTCATGGTGGGCGGTATTCATACTTGATCGGCTTATGTCTGTCGGAAGCAAACGCCCATGTGCTGTACCGAGACCTCAGGAAGACATGAAACTGACCATGCTTGACGATGATTGGGTTAGTACTTATTCACGATCACTTCATCGCCACCACTGTCTCACAACGAGGTCTTTCTCTTACTGATGAATACAGGAATCTTCTGACTATGATGTACTTGGGGACTACGAGTATGACTGGTACCTTGAAATTCCTGCAGAACGCTCCGGGTTCTCACGACTCTGTGAAGCCGCCCTACTTACTGACCGCGCACTCGTACTATCCCGAATTGAGGGCACACTCGATCAAGCTCATATTGAAGATACTATCAGTCATTCAAAGGAAATACTAGAATGGATTGATACAGTCGATCAAGAGTCAAAAGCTCCAGCCAGCACTGACCTTACTCTTCGACTGATAGGACCCCGGTTCGCCGCTCGTTCGGCCCTTTTCCTTTGCGTCAAAAAGCTCACCTTGTGGGTAAAGGTTACCCCAGACGGCAGATTCCTCGTACAGCCTCATTATAAGGACGAAGAAGAGAGTCGTGAACTCAAAAAAATCCAGAAATGCTCAGCGCGGGTCGTCTGGCAGACGAGTCTGGACGTACGAAACATTGCGAAAGCGCTCTCCAACCAGCTATTCGACGGGGAGAACCCCATCGGAAACCTTGCCATTATTTCACCGTTCATATTTGATGCCGTGTATAATGCGTCCGCCAACCTGCATCGACTCTCAGATGACGAAGCTGCCAGTCAAGCCGGTCAATCTGACATACTTGCTTTGACAACATTCTTGGATGAACTCAGTATGCGATGGGGATCTGCAGGAGAATACAGGAAGATGTGTGCGAGGCACCTGGGCACTATGCAAGGACTGTTGACAGAGAATTAATCAAGCTGGTTACTTCTAAAGAACAAGTGAAAAATAGACTTCAATGGGCCTCTGAAGAAAACCGCTCAAAAGAGTTTACACAATGCCGTTTTTCCCGATGATGGGCATTAGGCTTCATCAATCGCCGTTTAGGAATATCTCATTTACCCTGCCATGACTCCTCAAAGACTTGAGCGGCCGTTTTCGTAACAATATCCGGAAACTTGGAGTTCAAAGTGTCCTCAGTGGGAACAAGGAACTTGCCGATGCCTGCATAGTAGTGGACCTTCGCAAACAACGCCTCTGACTCTTCGCGACTGAGCTCAAAATCAGGAAAGTCCTCAATGAAAGAAATCCTTCCCGACTTGAGCTTTTCCAAGTCATCATAAGCTACCCTGAAGCCGGGGCCTGTGTGCAATCATCTGTCAGTAAGAATTCGGAACCCATATCAACTTGAGCAAGACTTGTTCTCACCTCGTGTCTTCTCCGCCAATGCGAGTATCTCAGAGATAGAGTGGTTCTGAGCTACGATGCTGCTCACTTTCGACCATTTGTTAAGACCGACCAGGCGGGCAATGTACTGCGCCATGTCCTGCGTTGTGATGAAGTTGGCTCTGGCTGAGCCGTCACCAGGAATGACAGCCCACTTCTTCTCCAAGTTCACGAAGTTGACCCAGGGGTGGAGATGCGACTTGTAGTGCGGCATACCAAAGTAGTCCAAGAAGAAACCATTCACCACGCGAGTATACTCGATGTCTGTCTTCTCGAGTTCATCGATTGCCTCAAACGCGTACTGGGCGAGAGGATAATGCGAAATTTGGCTGAAGCATTATAAGCATCCACGGTAAAATTGACGGGGTAGGGATGTTCTTACTCCCTTGTGTGCAGCATGTCATACGCACTGACGATGAAGCGGCGCGTCGAGCTGGACTTGTTCGATGCCTTGACCAGGTTGATTTGAGCCTCGTTGGTTTGTGGCGTGACGACACCCATGGCAGAAATGACAGTGTCAACCTGGTTATCTTGCAAGATCGTGCTGACGGCTTCAACGTCCTCGTAATCAACGGCGAGAAACTGTACCCCATCTTTTGGTTCCCGGCTCTATTTGATCGAGCGTCTGTCAGTGTTGCAAAGAGTTGTTGTAGGTTCACTAGTAAATACTTACCGTTCTTGAGAGAACGAAAACCTTATGGCCGCCATGAGCAACAATGCCCTCGACGATAGTCTTGCCGACTGCTCCTGTGCCACCTGCGACTGCAATGATGGCCATGGCGATCTACAATCTGGAGTGTAGTGGGGTAATGAAATGATGCGGGATAGATTTTATGTGAGTTGACTACAGTCTACGATAGCTTGGGTCGGAAGTTGCAAGTTATATAGTGCTTGAGACGCCGTGGTCGTTAGCCCTAGTGCTTTGAAATCCAGTCCTCCAAAGTTAGAGTAGGCAAAAGTATTGTTTCAAGCTTGACAAGCTAGCTTTATTAGATATCAACGACGGAACAGTTTAGAAGATTGTAAGATCTGTAACTCGAGTACGGTCTGTCCGGGATCATGGCTGCAGAGAAATGGTTCAATTCGCCTCGAGAAGCACGGAAGTTGGGACATGTGCCTAATGGGGAAAAGTGCGGGGAAATATGGCGCGAGCCATGATGCTTTGGTGTGGAACTTAGTAGCCCAATTGTCGTCGTGATTTGTTTCCCTCCGGGAAATGTGTTCCTTGACCCTTGGCTCTTTGATTCATTACTCGTTGATAATGTTCCTCGGCGTTCTTTCGAAAGTTAGCCAGCCGAATGATTGTCATCAAAACACCAAGTGCTGTAGGTAGTATACTGTTCTTGAAAAAGAATGAATATCAACTCTCATGGCTACCTTACTTCAAGGATCTACGGCCTAGACCCATGTTTTCTAGGTACATGTGGCTTCTATCATATCCACTAAACACCTGTGCCATTTCCTATCTCCGATCATTGCTGCGAATCCTCGCGTACATTTAGACGTAGTTCCGTCAAGGCGCTAGCTCGCCTCTTTCGCGATATCGTCTATGATGATCTTTCCTGCGACACTGCACGCAAATACTCAACCTATTTGACTGCTGATTCCCCCGGCCACCAATTCCCTACTCATGGAAAATCTGCCACCTGGTTGAAATGAAGAAACCAGCTGGACCACTGGACGTGCATTGCCGAACTGCGAGGTTCGATGAGAACACAAATGTCAGTCATGCAGCGAGCCATGACGATACTCGTGCCGAAAGCAACACGAAATCGGCGGATGCTACTGCCAGCAATGAAGTCAGCGATAGCGAGGAATTGACTTACCCGGAAGGCGGCGTGGAGGGATGGGGCGTGGTGCTCGGTTCATTCTGCGCGATGGTGTCAGTTTTCGGTCTGCCAAACACAGCCGCAGTCTTTTAGTCTTACTTCTCCAAGCATCAACTTCGAGAGTACACGCCTTCTCAGATTGGCTGGATCTTCTCCACTTACCTGTTTGTTACCTACCTGTTTGGCATTTTAGCAGGGCCCATATTCGACAAACATGGACATCGTATTCTAGTTGCTTTTGGAAGCATCATCACGATCAGCAGTCTCGTTATCTTGAGCTTCTGCGACAGTAAGTTACAATGCATTGCCCGACATCAAAGAGACAACGACACTGACGATCTGAAAACAGCTTACTATCAACTAATGCTGACCTTCTCGGTCCTGGCTGGTCTCGGTGCGTCTTTGCTGAATACCCCAGCGTTTGCTATCATCGGGCACTGGTTCAACAGTAGACGGGGTCTAGCCATGGGAATTGCAGCAACGGGCGGCTCGATCGGGGGCATCGTCTTCCCCCTTATTTTACAGGTAGCTTTGCCAAAGCTTGGGTTCGCTTGGAGCACGCGCCTCCTGGCTTTGTCGTACCTGGTACTTGCGATCCCTACCAACTTATTTCTACGAACGCGACAGCCTCCCAGCAAAGCTTTCGCTACCATCTGACTTTTTCCGAGCCTTGTTTAAGGACTCCATTTTGCCCAAAGGCGAAATCCCGAAGTTCAAGTTTGCGAGATGTTTCCAAGACGTTTTCGACGCGTCGAAGGTCCCCAGCATTGATGGGTATGATGTCGGTGATTTGAGCAACCTCGGCATGTTTCGTACGAAATCGCAATTGGTGCTTTATCAAGAGGCCAATCGGGACCCCAGCCGCAAACCGGAAAAGATGCTTGATCCTTGGTCTGCAATTGGAATAGTTCGCCTCGATCAAGCAAGGCGATTCAACCTAGCAATAGGAGAAGTTCAATTCGAGGAGACAGAAGTAGTACGTACTGCCTTGAACATGGGAATGAGCGACGAATGGTTGGGGGTCTCTGTTACTTTTGATGAAGGAATGGAAATAGCTGAAGAATGCCATGTACTCTTCAAGCCAAAGATGCCGGCTAGTCCAGAGGGGTAGGAGGAGTCAGGACAACAGCACCGACTGCGGCAATTTGGAAGTTTTTCACGAGGATTTGGACGCCGCAAAAGTTGATATCGCCAACGGCATTGTCGGTTGCCGCGCCCTTTCCGGATTCAACTACACTGAGATCGCCTGGACGCTTATGAACATGTTTCAAAAAATCGAAGATGAGCTGGACGAGCAAGGTGGGCCCGATTGGCGCTGTTCAGGCTGTTCGTACGATTCTCAAGCCGCAGCAGCCCATAATCGTCTTCACATTGCTCGCAGTGTTATGGAATCGCATCAAGACAATAAGGAGCGTCTTTACGTCTTCGTAAAGCACTTCGAGCACGCATTCTCCGACTTGACTGACTATATGTACTTCACGGAATTTCAAAACCCCCTAAAGGTTCAGGCAGAGAAGTGTGGTGTGAGCCTGTCTGCCGAAGCAGAAAACGAATGTCTGGTCATGTAAAGGCCAACCAGAAGATCAAAGAAATCACTACATGTATTTCAAAAACCAAACTTCCCCTATACAAGAAGTACATCAGGGTTCTAAGATGTCTACATTATGTAAAAAATCCTTCATTTCTTTTGGAAGAAATTGGCTAAGGTGCAATGTATTGGGTCATTGGGATCAATACGAAACGGCGTTAGAGGCTGAAGTCTCAAATATGGAAAATTTGGGATACCATCTTCGCTTACAATAGTTCCACCTTCTGATTCAAAAGGGGCTAATGAAACCTTGGTTCTGTCCCCTTGTTTATGAATGCTCATACCCGGCTGACCTCTCACCCTCCAGGAATCCGACGTTGGAAAAAGCCCGCCAGGTCGTACTTTGCAGCTGTATCCTTCAGTAGCCGTACACTTTCTGCGCCATAGGATCCAATAACGTCTTGCTCCGGGTCGGCGTAATTCACGTACAGAAATGTCGAGTGACCTTCAAAAGAAGCAGAGTACGCCCTCAGCTCTTCGATGGCCCTGCCCATCATGCTCTCAACAATTCCTCCATACTCTACATCGGTATCTACCAGGGTGCCTCTAGCCTCGAAGAGAATTGAGTCGGCAGGTAGGTTTTTCTCGAAGCCTAGGATGTTATTGCCGGGTTTGACTGAGGCGAGGTTCTTGGGCAGTGGTTGGAAAACAAAGTTGACGGAAACCGGAACACTGGTGGCATCCAACTCTTGTGTCAGAGCCACGAAGATGTCGGCAGCCTTTTCCATGATCTCCGGCGTGGCTTGCAAAGACAGAGAGAAAGGAATGTAATGTGATCCGCCAGTGTCGGCAATGGTCGCCGCAATCTTGCTGAGAGGCTGCTTGAATCTCATGTCCCTCGTCAGAGTAATGTCTTTGAACGGGGCAAACGTCGTCGAATTTTCGTTGCCGTCAGTACTGACGGCCATGGCCATCACAGCTAGGTTGCCGGCATCGGATCGATAGACGACAGACTCGTGGTCGGGGTTGCCAGAACCAATTGAACTGGGGCATAGCTGACAAACTGGTTAATGATGATGTCCAAGTCGCTCCAGGAAGCGAAGATCAGGCCTCCATAGGCACCGGAAGGGGGTACGGTGAAGGTTCTAACATCGAACCGAGTGACAATTCCTAGGTTGCTTCCACCGCCTTCCAAAGCCTTCAAGAGGTCTGCGTTTTCCTCAGCAGTAGCCTCGACCATCGATCCATTAGCGAGAACCACTTCATAGCCTACGACATTGTCGCATGAAAAGCCGTAAAGCTGTGTGCGTTAGGGTGCACTGCCGGATACCAGCAGTCCGCCAACGCCAACATGGCCAGATCGTCTACCTGTGACTCCCAAATTGTATGTTTCGAGGTAGGTCATGACGTTGCCCCAACGGGCAGCAGGGCGGATTTGAGCGATACTCTTCCCGGTATTAGTTCGTTACTCTGCAAAACTACGACTGGGATTATTTTACATTTGTCAGAACACTCTGTCCCCTCCAATCGGCAGTCCCGTTGAAACAGCCGCTTTTGACAAGCTCGGTGGAGTTGAAGAAAGTAAGGTCGATAGTCACTCCTCGGTGAGCAGCATTGTTGTCGTAGTCACTATGACCACCAGAGCGGACGGCAATGTCCCAATTCCCAGCACTGCTCACACTACCCAGAGCCTTGATCGCGAAGGAGTCATCCTCAGTCGAGCGCGGCTGGACAATACAGTAAGGTCGAAGTCGACGGTTTTCTGACGAATAGTATGTCGAGGTACTCTCGGTGTAAGCGATGTTGGTCGGAAAGACTAGAATATCTCCAAGCCCAGCATCAAAGAGGGCATCACACTGGTTGTTTCAAGTAGGTATTCGACACGCAGACGCGGGACATGTTGCAAACGTGTTGCAGCTGGGAGCAGAGAGATTCCGCCAATGAGAGGAACTTACGGCTTTGAACTCTGATGATGTGCTGTATGACTGAGCCACAACCTGGCTGGATAATCTGAGTAGGGCAATTACGCCACGACACATCTTCAGAGCCATGGTTGGATTAAGGAATGACTCGAGTAGGTAAGAAACACCAAAAGAAAGCGAAGAAGGAAGTAATTTATTGCTACTGATGCGGCCTTCCCTGTGCTTGGAGCTCCGAGCTACGACTCTTTATTGACTCGAAGCATGCTCTTTGCCAGCTGTAACTGTATCCGTCTTGCTTTGTCAATACTCTATTCATCCTCCAATTGTGAAGTCCGCTTTGCGCTCTGTATGTGCAGAAAGATCGCAGGCCATTGGCACCGAAGCCACCAGTCGGAGACCGGGGCCAATACGCGGCACGGAGGACATCGCAGAATAGGCCTTAGACCATCGTCCCGGCCGAGATTATCTCATTCTCAACCATTCAGTGACACAGCTCGGTCTCGCATCTTCAATTCTTTGGCCAATCGTGCTTTTATCTGGGGCCCACGGGCGGCACAGCTTAGAAATCCTCGACCGGTTCTGTAGCGATTACGAAACGCAATGTCGCTTGTATGCAGCTGTATGACTCCAGGTCTTTACATCTTACGAATCTTTGCCAAGTCGGAAGAGCATCCAGCACCCCGGAGGCGGATGTATACTGCCGTTTGTCGTTCGTCGCAGTGCCGCAACGGTGTACTGAATGCGGATACTGCCAGGGAGGACAGCAAGGGTTGACCCGTGGCTCCGCAGGGCCTTTTCGCAACTGACAATGGGATATGACTCGGCATGAAGATTGCGGTGTTGAAAGTAGATTTTTGTCAGCATGGACTTTAGAGAGTAAGCCGACATAGCCTGCGGGCGGGTACGGTAACCTTACTTAACTTAACTCTCTACCATATTCCAAAGCTAAATCTAAGTTCACAAAGAGAGATCCTGTTATAGCCTTCCACTAGGCATTGGAAGATTCGTGGTGATCTGAAGCCACCAGCTCCAGATCTCCATCTGCATGCCAGCATTATGGCGTGGGCCAACAGCGATCTCTCGGCGCTTGTCTACGCAACGACATGGATAGTAAGTCAAGATTGGCAACCCGAGAGAGCAAGACCATCCGATTTGAGTTGTAGTATTCTGATAAGCGTCTCGACTTTTAGATGCTGCTCATGTCAACCATCTTCCTTGCCCTGAGAGTCTATAGCCGACTCCGAAACGCCGGGATCGGGCTCCAAGCAGACGACTGGAGTCTCATCGTAGGCTGGTTCTTCTTGCTCCTAGCATCGGCAAGCGTGTCTTGGTTGATGGCTGTCTTTCTTATTCGAGGGAACTTGCTGAAGATCACCATCGCCCGAGTACATCACAACCTCCAGTCTGTCGCTCTAGGTTTGACAAAGACATCGTTTGGAATCACGCTGCTGAGGTTGATGCCCGGAGGCTGGGAAGCGAAGCTCGTCTGGGGCGTTATCGTTACTATGAACCTGCAGTTTGCGATACACATCATCGCGTCGTGGCAGGCTGTTTGCGGTGCACCAGATGAAGGACATATCGGAGGGGATAGGTGCTGGCAGGTAGACCAGTCGGTAACATTCAGTGTCTTCAGTGCATGTAAGTTTCAACCTTACGCAGCCATGATGTCGAAGACTAACTCATCTACTACAGTATATTCGGCTATTTGCGACGTGGTTCTTGCTCTTCTGCCGTGGAAGATGATCTTCAACCTACAAATAAAACAATCGGAGAGAATATGCTTGGTCATGGCTTTGAGCATGGGGATCCTAGCAGGTGTTACAGGGGTAATGAAAGCTGTTCACGGCTACGTGTTGATCAACGTGAGATCTCCTGATTGTAAGTGGCCTCTTCTATGATGTAAAGCAAGGTTGTAGGAGCTCATGACCAGATCTGTACAACCAAGCAGTCTACTGGGTCTGGTCCATGGCTGAACCAAATGTCACCATCATTTCAGCATCTATACCCGTTCTTCGCGGTTTCGTTCGCCAGGTCCGAAAACGAACAGAGTCATCCTCGGGAGCTGGGGCATACATCAAGACGGGGGATGCAAGTGGCAGATTCTACAATCAGAGCACTGTGACGGCTACAAGAGGAGAGCCAAGAGATCGCGATGCATCCAGTGACAGCAGCATCCTGGTTTCAGAGCAGCAAGGAAGCAGTGCTGGTGGAGGAGGCGGCATCACATGGACCACTGAGAAGAGCGTCGAGTACGCACCTCGACCTCAGACTGAACATCGCAATGAAGCAGCTGACAAGAATGCTTCTAAAGACGTGTCTGAGTTCGAGATGAAGCCTATAGACCGTCGGAAAGGTGGCGCATAGCCTGAATGAGAAGAGATTCTGTTCGTCTTTCGATATCTACGTCGATGCTTCCCCCGAAGAACGAGTTTGCTACACATCTGGTATCAAACAATTAAACTGCGGGCGCTAGGAACATGAAGCTCCCAAATCATTCAGTCATTGATCGGGCATTGGTGCCAAAGGTGAATCGATTCACTGAATACTTCGTCAGATCCAACGAGCTTTCAACGTGTATTATGCATTATCTAAGCTATGCCCTAAAGTTTGACGTGGTAGTTGACCAGATATGCGAAGTTTCTGACGGTAATGAAGTTCGCTTGCGGTACGCCGGTGTTGTGTCGCGGGGTATCCATTCGATCTAGCTTGGATAATCTAAGGAGGGCAGGGGACGACAATAGTCTTCCAGGCCGGGATGGAGTCGGGGTTGGGGATGCCGTTCATAGCGGCAATGATGTTGGCGGTGGAACCGAAATCGGCGGCGATCTCGTTGAGGGTGTCGCCCTCGACGATCCAGTACCAGCCGCGGCCGGGGTGGGATCTGTCGCGTCTACAGTCGCGCTTGGCGGCAACCATGCCGACGGCGGAGAGGGCGACGAGAAGGATAGAAGCGGCGTGCATTTTGAATTTGAGTTTAAGGCTGGTAAAGACTGGTGGGTAGTTGTAAAGAGCGTATTGGTTGAATGTGTTCAGTAATCGGAAAACAACTCCCAGCTCGGGCTGGCTGCAAGTGTATATATATCCAAAGACTGGGATGTTTGAGTTTCACCCTAAGCGGTTTCTCCGTGTCGTGATTATTAGCAATATCCTCCTCGAGGTCGCCTCGTAGTTACATGACTTGTGCAGTGCCTCATTTTCCCCAGAACAAACTGGTTTTGCCCTGTACGAGTCAAGCTCACGACGATCGCATTCTTCTTAGACCACCACACGAACCATCTTATCAAACTCTATCAGCGAACTGTTGGTCAAACTGGCAGGAACACGGACACTTTTTGCCGGATTCAAGGTTACGGATAGCAGATTTCATTTGGGATATAGTACCCTAGGACTCATACTTCGACAAGATGGAGACGGGAGAACCACAACCACGGAACTCTAAGAAAGCAACTGAATGGGCTCGTCCGTGTCGATCATTCACCGCAACTGCCGAATCTCCCGAGAGTCTCGGGGAAATCGAACAGTTTCGGGTATTGCCTATGCGCTTCATCTTTCATCAACCAGGCGACGGGTATTTACGCGTAGGGGAATCGCGAAAGTTGGTCAACTCTCATGCCGTAAGAACCTTACTTAGTATCCCTAGTCTACTTTACTAAGTACTGCAGGCTTTTTTAGTGTCCTACGGCCACTTCGAAGATCACAACCTACCATCGGGGAAGCAAGCAATTGAAGTATCCAGGAACTTAACCTAGCATCAGCTGGAGTAACGCAGGACTTTGCCATGCACGCCCAGGTCTTTACTGTGAAGAGCAACTGTTAAGTTATTTCACCATTGGCAGGTTTCGCACAAAAGTGCAAGTACAGAAAATGGGAAACTGTTCGGAAGGAGTACAGATGGTTTGCAATGACAGACGGCGCGGCCCTTGCACTTTATGGTTGTGGTAGGGTTAGACCTGGCCCTTCGACAACAGCCGCAGTGAAGAAGACTTCAGGTTTAGGACTTCGTGCCGTTCCAAGTTCCGATCAATGTTAGACTAATGAATGAACCTCGTCTCAAAATACAGTTCTCAGCTCGACAGACAGGAATCGATGCCAAGTGCGGAGTAAAGCGTCTTGACCAGACTAGAAGACAGGTTTGAAATGGACGCGAAGGTTACGAGGCGAGATGGTTCTGTGTGATGGGGCACATGGCTTTATTCATTATATCCCCTGTCATAAATCTAAAATGTACAGTGATCCAATCTAGTATCCCCGTCCGATGCCCATTACTCCGATTACTACATTAGGTGAGGTATAGGTAGTTTACATGCAAGCAGCACCGTCAATACCGAGGACCTTTCCGTTGATCCACTCGCCGTCCTGGGAAGCCAGGAAGCAGACGACACGGGCAATGTCGATCGGGAGACCGACACGGTGCATGGGGGACCAGCCGGCGGCGTACTCATCGACACCTTCGTCGTCAAGCTCAGCACCACCGGGGATGTACTCGCGGCAGACGTCACTGGGTGTTTGTTAGCTACTTGGTCTGTGAGATGACGTTAAGGATCAAGTGTGCACTTACCGGTACATGTCGGTCTTGATACCACCGGGGGCAACGGCGTTGACGGTGATCTTCTTGTCACCGAAGTCGATGGCCATGCAGCGGACGAAGGTCTCGATAGTTCCCTTGGAACCAGAGTAGATGGCGTGCTTGGGGACACCCTTGGCCTGGCCAGTGATGGAACCCATGAGGATGACACGGCCGCCAACCTCGAGGTTCTTGTAGGCCTCGCGAGCAACGAAGAACTGTCCGCGGGTGTTGATGGAGAAGACACGGTCGAACTCCTCGGGGGTGACATCCTTGACGTGGCCGAAGGAGACGACACCGGAGTTGGAGCAGACAATGTGAAGCTTGCCGAAGATCTTCTTGGCCTCGGCGAACATGGAGACAATCTGGTCGACGTCGGAAACGTTGGCCTTGATGGCAGCGGCGTCGGAGCCACCCTTCTTGATGGCCTGGACGACTTCCTCGGCGGTGTCAGCGCTGTTGGCGTAGTTGACGATGACCTTGGCACCGCGACGTCCGAGCTCAAGAGCCATCTCACGACCAATACCACGGCCTAGATAGTGTTTGTGTTAGTTCGGTGTTAGATCAGACGAACAGACCACCCTTATGATGCACCTCAGGAAGCTTGCTGATTGTCCGGTGGCAGCTCTCCCGAGAAGCGCATCCTATGAGGATAGAGTGAGAGAAAAGGAAAGCATTGGATGGCACATACCGGCACCGGTCACGAGGGCGACCTTGCCCTCAAGGGAAGCAGAGGCCAAGCCCAGGGGACCGGGAATGGCATCGTACTTGGAACCGGTAGACTGAGAAGTAACGCCAGGCATTTTGAATGTGATTAATGTGGTGTTGACTGTGGATGGAGTGGTATATTGGTCAAGAGGGTTGGATCGTCGAGATACCGAGGAGTTGTTGAATTGGTTAAGTGAGTGATTGAGTTCTGCTGAATTGTTTCGAGTAGTAGATGTTTAGAGGTTGGCATTCCAGGTTCTTAAATATGACATTTCAATCTCAACAATCTCTCCTCTACAACTTGATTGTTTCTATTTACTCGCTTTCCCCTCCTAGACAACCGCCTCACCTGAGGCGGTTCGTCGCGCGCCCGGACGCCCGTGGAGAGACCGCCGGACATGGACGTGCGCCTCCGGACGTCCGTGAAACGAGACGGTTCAAAGGTCTTTGGGGTGCGGGAGCTGCTGCTAGTTTCCCAACTGCTGCACATCGCTTCCCGCACCAAAAAAGCGAGAGCCGAACATAGTTAACGTAACGCCACAAGGCAGCCAGAGAGTCTCCATCCCTATTCTTTTTTTGGGCTGATCTTTGCCTTTCATTGTGCGTCCCTGAACTAGCGCTTGGTTGACCGGTCCCCTTGGCGCGCCTGGGTTCACCACACGACGGTTCACCCACACGACCGAAGCGCTACCACGGCCGTTTCTTCTCCCCCTTATTGTCACCTCAATTCGAGTTGCCCAGGAACATTGGATAGAACATTGAAGTTATTGAGACCGCCCGGACCGAGCCCCGGCCGCAAGCCAAGGCGGCATGTCCCACCGCCACGGATCCCTTTGCTCGTCCTCGCTCGTACATCTGTACCCACGCGTACATACCCGTAGAGGCACCCCGTAATTGGCTTCCCTGTGAGCCCTTGCCGTACAATGATCAAGGTTGTTGGTCCTCGCCATTGTCTTCGGCGCGAATCCCTCTGGTGGCCCGTGGCTGACTGGCCGTGAGGATCGCCCTATGTGCCTTACCTACGTATACTCGCTCTTTTCTCGCTATTCGGACGACATCCAGCTCGCCGATGCGCTCTGATTCCCATGTGCCCCGCAAGGCCTTCGGATATGTTGGTGTTCGAGACGAGAGGATTCGGGGTTCTTCCCCGGGCATGGGGGGCGCCGCCCTTTCCACATCCCGGCCACGGATCACCAAGGTAATCACCAAAGGAGGTGCTGCCACCTTCATCAAGAGGGTTGCCGGTCAACCATAGGATATGGCGCCACCACGAGTCTCGAAGACCGTCTGATGGGATTCTCAACGCCGTCCGAGAGGATCAGTGCTACACCTCCGTACTTGGGACTGCTTACGTTGACGACGTGTTGCGCTGATTTGTGGAAGGTTTTTTCTTGGACCCGGGCTCTTGTGCGAACCCACTCGCCGCCGTATCAGATCCGCATCACCGACCAGCGGCGATGTCTGCTCGGCGATACTTGCTCGGCGTTTTCACGAGTTTGCAGACTGACAAAGTTTGACTTCTCATCACCATGTGCGTGTCATGATGTTGCCATCGTCTGATGTCAAGCCTCTTCAAAATAGAACTGCTCCCTTGGCGAACCCGGAGATTGCGTTGCGGGTGCAAAGGTTCCGGAGAACTGGTACCCACAAACCCGGAGCGAGGGGCCTCATCACTCGAGACACGGCAATCGGTACCGGTCCTCATCACGGTGACGGGTCCAGTGGAGGGGTCAGACTGAGTCGGCAATCGCCGTGAGACAATCTGCAAGAGTCACGGCTCGAAGGGCTCTACCGGCTCTAGTTATTCAAGCCTGGATCCGAAGCAGGGCCCTTCCCAGCCATGAAAGCCAGAGCCAGGCCTCATAATCGGCCCCAGGCGTTGCGGTCGCGGAGGCCCGACGAACTTCAGCCACCCCGGGTCAGCAAGTGAACTCTGTGACTGTGAGGGCCGCGGGCGTGAGGCCCCCCTCCCTCCTTCGACCATGGGTCGGCCCGGAAGTCTCGAACTAATGGCTGCCTTGCCTCCGCGCTGGGTCTTCGAGAAACGGCCCACGCCGGGAGATCCTCGCCAGGCCGCCCTCCCTCCCCTTCATTCGAGAAATTGCCAAAAACGGCAATTGAATCGGGCTTGACCCCCGTTATTCTTCGTATGGCTCGTACAATGTCTGCGATTTTCGGGCTGATGACAAAATACGGTAACTGTTTTCCGTGTGGTGTTCGGTAAACATTGTTTCGTGGGGTTTACTATTCACCACCTTGCCACACCGCACTGATCCCTGGTGATTCTGATTATTCTGGCGGTCATGGGCCAACAATAATTACTCTTCCTCCTAATCCATTGCTGGCAAGCGAAGAATCTGTTTTACAGTGCCATAGCTGTCAGAGGGGCTGCAGAAAACATTGAAATGCATTTGTGCCCCCCCCCCACCCCCCTTTACAAATAACGTTCTGCGATCATCTCCCCCATCAAAGCATAACTTGCGGCGAAAGTCAACCCGACAAGAGAGAGAGTTCAGAGGATTCGACTTCGTTCGGCGCCGGCAGCCTTGAAGACACCGCCCGTGAGCCGTGCAGTCACGATCACGTTCATAATGTGGCCAGCAAAGCCAGCGCAGCACGGAGGCTCCGGGTCGGAGCGGTCAGCGAGACACCTCCATGAGTCCCTCCATCCTGCTTCCTCCCCGACCCTACTTGTTCTCGGATCTCGCCATCTCACTCGTGGAGGAGTACAGCCTTTCCAATGGTGAGAAATTAGACTCTACGGAGAAAGCACGAACACGAGGCGACGACGGGCTGGTCGGACAGCGTTGAGTTCTTGTCCGCCCCCATCTCATCTCATTCTGGGCCCGAATGGCTGGGTTGCGATGCGACTTTGCCCCAATAATCCGGTACGGTACAAGTTCGTCTCGTTTCTTGACCTTTTCTCGCTTCTTGCCTAATAACGTCAATCGCACCACTTCGCCGAATTCTCAAAAAGAATTTCTCGTATATTGCAGGCTGTCAATGGTGAGCCGACGCAGGACTGCAGATAGCAGTGAACCCGAATCCGCATCCTCGGGAATTATGTTGGAATCCTATCATCCTGTCAGCAATAGCCTACCCGATCGGGATTGCAACCATGACAAACCTCCCCATCTTTCTCGTATTTTTAGCTTTTTGAGAATTACTAAGAGAAGCCGACATGGGCTTATCTCACTTTCATTCTCAGCTGAGTGGCCAAGAACTCCGCAGGTGATCCTTCAAAAAAGTGCAAAGCCTCAGCCTCCCAACCACCACCCACCCAGTTCCAACAAGACGCACCAACACAACGCGACATCTAAATCACAACCAACAGAGTTACCTCGCCGCATATGCACTCATCCAAGGTTTCATGTGGCCGCCAACGGCCTTCCCGTTAGATCATTGTTTGCACAACTGCTCTCTTGTGCGTCCATAACCCGTCTCATGAGATCATGCGGCGCAGAAGGGGCACACATCAACAAAGTGATTCTCGTGGCCCCCAGTCCCTCTGTGTCTCAATTGTATTGCCCCGGGGTCGTACACACCCAAAGAAGGTTGTCTGCACAGGATTCCAAAGAATCACACAGCATATGCAGATCAACTCCAATGTCTACCTAGTAGACTAGCATAGCCTGCTTGAAAACACTGCAGCCACCAACGCCCAGGTGAAAGTGAAGAGGCTCGCCAGCTCCAGCTGCCAAGCGAAGCCAGGCTTCCCAGAAAAGAGGCTGTGGAGACCTGCAAGTGCGAAATTTGGCTGCATCCTCCCACCGCTCTCCCACGCTCCCTTGCAACAATAAGACAAATATTTGTCTGCCTGCAAAAGAAAATGAGGATTCCAAGGCTGCTTGCAGGTACCTCACCCAAGAAACCCCGTCCAAATCCGACAAGTCGAATGATGTTGCCCGGTCAAGTCGGCGATCAGCATGAGATGCAGGCTTGGGGCCGTTGGTGACACCTTTTGACTGCGGGTCTTCCCTCAAGTTTACGCTTATGAGCTTATATACATATCAAACCTGCGTCTTATGTAGCATAACCATGCGTTCCTGTCAAGTCTCCTCAAACTTCTCTGGTGTTATTTTCCTATACCACACAAGCTGGACCTCGAACCGTGAACCTCGAGAGTGAAGCCAGGTCTCTACTCAAACTGAATATATCTACAGCTTCGCATCATTCAACCACACACACAAAATGGCGGTAGCCAACTTGGGTTTGAGCTGTCCTAAAGGTGGCGACTTTTACATCTGCGAAGATAGCAAAGTCGAGTTCCTAGGCTGTTGTGCGACAAACCCCTGCGCCGACGGCAGCGGGAAGTGTCCGACAAAGGACAGGAGGATATCGGCCTTCAACCCGGACCGCTACGCAAACATACCAGCCCAGGGTTGCGACGACGCCAGGCCGCCGAGCGAGATCTTCTGGACGTGCACAAACGATATCTCCTTCATCGGGTGCTGCGCGACGAACCCGTGCCAGGAGCCGGACGGGTTATGCCCGCAAACGAATCTTATATCGGCGACGCTGAGTTCGAATGCGAGCTCGAGGGCCGTGTTCCTCCCGGATGAGTCCGTGACATCCACGCCGTCGGCATCATCATCGGCGACGGCCACACCGACTCCGAGTGGGTCTCCTTCCGGAGGTGGTGGTGGAGGTTTGGGGACGGGAGCCATTGTTGGCATTGCGATTGGCGCGGCAGTAGCTGTTGGCATCGTTGTGGCGATCATATGGAGATGTGGTTGGCACGCCAGGAAGCGCAACGAGAGGCGTGAACCGCCGGCGTGGGAGTCTGCTGTACAGAGTCCTCATCCGAGCCAACACCCTGAGATGGGATATGTGCCACACAGCAGTCCTGGCCCCTACGATCCCGCATATGGTAAGTCTTCACTACAATCATCCAGCTGGAATCAGATCAAGACTGACATATCCCACAGCATCGTATGCGACAACAGCCGTCCCCGAGTCTCATGCCCCTTCATCACCTCCGCCGCACTCACCATACTACTCCATGAAGCATCCTAGCTCACCCATGAGCATGGACCCGCGCCATATGTCAACCTACTCGGACAGCAATGTGAGCTCTCTCAGCGGCCACCCTACGGGTCCGCGGCATCTTCCATCATACTCTGCCCTTGGGAGCGATTTGCACCCGGTCAGCGAGCTGGATAGCACGGAGCGGGAGGTGCCAAGGGCAGAACTGGGCGACGGAGCTCCGACGGCCACGAAGTGATCAATGACGAATGACTGGTGTTATATGATCGATCTATTTCTATTCTAAGCGGGGAGTTTGGGGCGCAGCTTGACGATTCATCAAGGTGTCTTGATACTGGACATCACGCATTCTGAATAGTTCCTACTTTGGTAATGTCTCTCATTAGAAAGAGATGAACCATTATCTGATGCTGAATGTACAACTTCTTCACTGCACACTCTGGGTTCGTCATTATTGGATTTAGGCACCTCTAGTAGATTATCCCATTGCTATTCCACATGTCAACAATGTGTATGATATCTCCCAAGTCGGAGCTCACCTGTTCTCTGCAACAATCTAGCATGGTCTGTGCTAGCCGTCACCAAATGGGAGTGTTCGCTTCTCGAATTGGGGAAAACTGTTCGTCGCATAAGGTAATCAAGGTTCAATTAGCTACACTTAAATTTATTGAACCGCTTTCACTTTTCAAGACTCCGTGTTTGACTGCCGAGCCTCTCACTTGGGGAGTCTCAACATCAGGGAAGCGCAAATGGGCCTGGCCTGCAGCCACTATGAGTCCTAAATTGTGAGAGGCCTTCAACAAACAAGACCCGCCTTGCTAGCTCAATCGGTAGAGCGTGAGACTCTTAATCTCAAGGTTGCGGGTTCGACCCCCGCGTGAGGCTCAAATCCTCACCGCGATTGGCCAAGTCATTCTTCGGGTTAATTTTTGTCATTTTTAACAGTGCTGTGCAGGCTTGCAACAGTCATTCAAACACTCTTTTGTGTCTCCGCATGTCTTCCAGTCGCTGTTAGGTTCTAATGAGCCAGGGGCCCCTATGAAGAAGATTGATTTTTGGATCCAACTTGGACGCAACTTGCATGCGACATGTAGGTGTAGAGTACATTTAACAAAGATGAAGCTTTCCAAATCCTCACGATAAAGGGGACTTGGTTCTGGCGTCTCGGATTGAAACAGAATTATCTCCCGTTGCGTTTGCGTCCTTGATGACCGTGAGAAGACTGATTTCCTTTCGGCCTTTGCGCCATCTCTGCCAGTCTTGTGGTTTACATAGAAAGAGGGCAGGAGGGAAAGTCAGACCGGGGCTCAGCGCAGTAATACATGAAGACTCAAGAATCAAAGAATGAACCACTACTGCGGTACTGGAAGACTATACTGTTTGATTGGAGACACTGGGGACAACAGTGATGAGTGGGGATGGCGGCAGCAATTGTTTTAGAGTGAATCCGACGAGAAGCGCCGTAAGCAGCATGGAGCAACTAACAAAGCGGCAATGTCATGATCAAAGAGGGACTATACACATATGTCAGGGTACAAAAGCTTTCTCTGGAATGCTTCATCTCTATCTAGTTCAACATAGACAGTTTTCAGTTGTGGAAGCATCAGCCTAGCAACTCAGAACGAGCTTCACGTGTAGATTATCCATATCAAGCCTACATCCTGTCCACTCTCCTCCACCATCATGACCACACAATTCCGACACTTCCTTGGGAAGTACAAGAGCAAGTTTCGTTATTACCTTGCGAACTCAGTCAACTTGCGCCAGATTGTACAACTGATACTAATCCTGATCTCGCTCACCGCCATCGTCGGCCCTATCGTACTCCTCGTATTTGCATATAAGAAGAACCCGTCGGTGCGTTTGATCATCTTCGGATTCCTCTCGGCCGCCATCGCGACCTTTTTCAGCACCTGCGTCGCTCTGTGGTGGTGGCGTTTCACCCATCCTCTAAGGGACGACGATCAGCAAGTCATACCATGGTCCAGAAGCGGCTCAGAGTCCAGCACGATTAGTCTCACCCGGGATCAAGTCGCTACAGGCCCTTCCGATGCACAGCATGAGAACTTGCCTATGACTCCCATATCGGAGCAACCTCCTTCTTCTATGCCTGCCGAAGCCAATACAGGTGCTCCTGTCGCCGAAGAGAATAATGCCACGACGCCTCCAGAGGATTGGGTATCCCGTTTGCGAAAGTCCGTCTTTCCAGGGTCATCGAGAACCAAGGTACAGCAGGGATCCGCGGCTGCTTAAGAGCGGTTCGAGAAGATATCTTAAGCTCATGTTAGAAAATGCTTGGAGCGATTCTGTTCCCCTGTCTCGTAGACGTTAAGTAAGATTTGGTAGATCGAAGGTTGGCCTAGTCCCCTCCTCTAATGGATAAGTAGTAGAACTAGTCCCTGTAGATACAAAAAGTTTGTTCGATTATTTTAGAGAGACATGGGCTTTGCGTTCTTTTCTTGTCGACATCAACTTAGTGATCATAGAAATTCGAAAAAGAGAGGAGACGATTCAAATCCAGAGAGGGTCAACCAAATTCTCCTGTATATGACACAGTGACCCAATCGAGCACCGACTGTTGGACGGGCACCCAAAGCTGCAGCTACAGCTGTATCAATACCCTCCCCCCACCCCCGGAGTGTCAGTCAACATAGCGAAGAAAGCTACTAGATAGCAACACTTCAATTGCAGCCGTATGTGGGTGTAGGAATACACATGAACTCACTCCAAAGGGCCGAAACGCCTCCAGTCAAAATCGAGACGAAGTATAAGCAGACATTACCATTCGGACAGGCCACTCCGGTTCAAATGCTACACAAGAAATTCGAGTTGAACCCAGTCTTCTATTGCAGATAGAACCATTGAAAAACTGAGTTCGTTGTGATGCTGGAGTCTTCATGTTCACACAGCTGCAGCTGGATGTTGTATCTCATGTGACTCCTGTCCAGGAAACATCAAATCTAATGGTATTGCAACCTCAAAGGCGAGGGAAATACCACGCAACAACGAATGACACGGAGATAGGAAAGTCGTGTTGTACATCACGTCTGCCCCTCTCAATGGAATGCATACGCGACTCGCGGGCGTTGAGCAGAAAAACCATCGCCATCTCGAGCGTGCGCTATCGGCCTTGAGAGGTTACATTTACGGCAACGTGGGCCACCGCGGCACGGCGATTCGCAAGCATGCCATCTGAATGACGACACATTGGGAAAAGAACAGAGTTGTCAAGCGGGAACTCAATCGCCGGGCCTCTTCCGTATGGTCCCTCCTCCCCCTTTAGCCTTTTCCCGAAATGAGATGATGGGAACGGGCAGTGCAGCAAACAAATAATGGACGTTGCAATATTGAAGGATGGATGGATGCATTGGTTTGCGTTGGTTGATATGCCGTGACAGAGGAGCGCCGAGCGCATCTGTCGCCAAAATCAGATCATCTCAAGGAGAATAGGGGCAGCTAGCTCTAGCAGTGGCTAATGACAGTCAAGCATAATATCTGCCCGGTACCAAAGTTTCTTCTCTCTCTCTCTCATCTCGTCACGTCGCGGGGTTGCATCGCATAACAGAGGACGCATCACACACACCCAACTTGACAGAGGATGAGATGCGCCCTGGATGCCGCATTGCCGACGCCCGGGTCAGACACACCAAGACGCACGCAGACGAAAACGGCATTCATCCAGATCCATCACTCCCCCCTCAAAATGGTAGGGATGAAACATGCCAAATTTCCTGTGCCTTGATTTCTGCATCTGCCAACAATGGGCAAGGTCGAGAAAAGGCCGTTCCGCTAGTCTCTGGAGAAGGCTGGGCCTAGACTCCCGTCGTAAATCTGGGTTTTGGCCCAATTGCCGTGGGCAGACGGGACCACGAACCACGCGATCGAGTTCGGGGAAAGGCCGCTATAGGGCAGCGGCTGGGTCACTCTGGACTCCTGGAGTCTGCGGATACTGAGCTACAACCTTCTTGGTCAGTGGGCCAGTTTGTCTATGAGTAAGCGTGGTAAGGTACTTTATCCGTAGTTTCTTACTCCATCAGGGATCTGACGGATCAAGTCAAGAGAGCCGGGCCATTTCAGCTTCATCCGCTGGTTTCCCCGTTGAGCAAACAAGCATGGCAAGAAGGAGTTTAGTTGGCAAAGTTGGTTCTTGCAGTGGCTCGAATCCTAAAGAGATTTTAGGTAAACTGGAGCGTGTGGGCTCTGATGTAGCCACACACACACACACACACCCCATCTTCCAGGAGAAGAAAAGATGAGCAATGACACAACTTTGATGCTAGCGTCAACCGTTGGAAGTTAGAACAGTTCAGAGTTAAGCGGCAGCTTGAAGCGACTTGTTAGCGAGATTTCCCATCAAAGCCGTTGGTGACCCAAGCAGTAGCCACACCACTAATACTAGCTTTGATATTGCTCCCCCTAATACATTGTGGTTACGCTTGCGGTTGCAGTCCCAGTCGCAGTCGACGGCACATTGAATCGTCCAGGCCATCAACGGGTGCGACGCTGCGGTACCGGCTTTTACTGTCCGTTTCTGACAGTGACACTTTCCACATTTTGCCCGGCCGGCAAACACGGCGGAGAAGAGTCGCAACCAAAGTGGCCAACAGAGTCACATCCAACTTCACAACTTTTCATAAGTGGCTTCACAAAAGAGGGGACATGGTCTTATTGCGCGCCGTGCGTCTCCGCCAGGTTCATCAAAAAAAGAAGAGAATGGCAAATGGGGGCCGAGATCTCCCGTCCGGCCCTTTCCAACAAGGCCCAGCCCGAAAACTCTGAGCGTTACAGTCTGCGGAGGATTTGTTCCTCGATGGCTTGCTCGGGCATAATGAACAGCGGTTGTTTCTGTTATTACTGGAGTTAATAGCACATCGCCACATATCATCCAAACGTCACAACGTCACAACGTCATTCCCTTTTATCGCCCGCGATTACCTACTATGTACACCTTCGCAACCGCCTCTTTTGCCATCTGATATGTGGCGCCGGCAGCTTTGGTCGCGTTGCATTCTAGTCGAGAGTCGAGAGACTGTCCTCAAAGAATACTAGACTTCACATTACCTCCTGAGCTCCTACAAAATGTCACCCCGGCCGATATCACGCCTCTTATATCCCACCCCGTCCCACGAGCCCCGTCCCAGAAGCGGCTCCCCGGGCGGTCCAAATCGAACGATCCAGGCGTCGGAGGTCTGACTGCTTCCAGACTGGCACGCTTCACCATCTCAGACGGCAATTCAACGTCCACAACCGCATTGGCTGCCATCACATCATAGGCCATCATGGAATACTAGAACCAAATCTCGATTGAGAGTGATTGAGAGCGACGGGTAACTCGCAAGTCCTGAATTCTCATTCTCATCATGCCCCAGGCCTTGCAAAAACATCGACTACATCCTGGCGCGCCTATAGACTACTCCCATCATCATTGCTAATTGTCGCGGTGCCCCCTCCCTCCGCCTCAGCCACAATCTTGGTCCTCACGACCTTGCCCGTGGTATCCAGGTAGATATTGCTAAACGCCTCGAGGCCGGGGTACGGCGCATACACGTACTGCAGCTCAAACTCCTTGACCTGCCCATCAATCGAAATGGTCTTGTTGTGCCCGCTAAACGTCATGTCGCGGCTGTAGAGCCCGACAACCTTGCGCCCGCTCTCGTTGCCGCTGTTGTCGAGGTAGACGTCGAACAGACTTCCGTTCTGCGCCAGCACGCGGTTCGTATGCGTGCGGCCCGAGAAGTCATTGACCGAGTAGAGGATGTTGTGCTCGAGGCGGAATGTCAGGTCGCGCTTCGCTACCGACGATGCGGTGCTCTCCACGGGATCCGTGACGACGTCGACGGTCTTGTTGACAATGTCGCTGACCGTATCACCCAGCGTCGCGATGACGGGGTTCAGGTCGATGCTAGTGAGCACGTCGTCTACCATCTTCACCACGTTCTCCAGCCGCGCCTCGAGCTCGACCTTGGCTGAGACGTTATAGATGCCCAGCTTGACGCGGTCGATGCTGGCGTCCACGCCCGCCTGAAAGTGCAGCAGGTTCAGGACTTTGGCGTCGAGGTTCACTTTTGCGGTGATGTTTTGCACCTCGATGCTGATCTCGCCCACCGAGAGGGACGCGTTGAGGTACACGTCCGGGATCGGGTTGAGCGTGTCGATGCCGGTCTTTGTGTTAGCCGTTTCGTAGACGGCGGACTCGTTGTCATCGCCGCGGCGGTTGAGCTGATAGCCTACGTAGCCGTCGCCCTTTGATTCGTCTTGGGCGAGGGTCAGGGTTGAGAGGGTGAGGAGGGCAAGAGCCCTGGTGATGAAGAGACTCATATTGAAAAGAGTGTAAAATGTTTTTTTCTGTCTCGGGTTACAAAGGAGTGACTATGGTGGCGCTGCAGGCCAGTTCGGAGATGGAAGCAAGACGAAGGGAGTGAAGGGGCCGCGAACGAGAGCGAAGAGCTGCAGATCTAATGATGCTGGGGAAGCAAACGATACAAGTATCGTTCGTCTAATGGAGGAAAAGAGATGTGGAGGGGGGGGTGAGGGGAGCCAATAAGTCCCAGGTCCGATGACGAGCCAGGCTTCGGGATTGTCACTGCATCAAGAGCATACATGAACTTAACCCCCTCCCCTTCAACCTAAGATCCTGGAAGGCAAGGTGAGTTTCTTTCTTAATCCACACTCAAGAGACCGGGTCTTCGTTCTCGGAAGCCCCCTCCGCACGCGGTGCCCCCGTCGCCTAGCGAATCCCCCGACTGGTCCCCCCGTCAAGTGACGCAGGCGGCAGTGCTGACACTTTTATTTCGCGCACGATGCAACATCGCCAACGCTCGCAGGCTCAAGGAGTCAAGGCATGATAGGATGGGGTATGAGCCGAATGGAAGAAAGCCAAAAGGCCAATCTCCCAAATGTCCCATCGATCCATGGTCCATCCGAACCCGGGGGAGCCACACAGACATGGAATATTCCAAGGTTTTTCTGAACATGGCCGTCCACATGCAGCCCTTCGGCCCGGTGGCTTGCAGCTTGTCACCTTGTCACTTTGTCTCATAACTCTCCTTTCCCCCTATGAACATCGAGAAGCTCGACTGCCGGGGAATGGGACTTCATGGGAAAAGGGGTGTGGGCACCGCCTCTTCGGGACCGCTGCCCATATCCGCCCTAGATATGGAGACTGGCGGCCCCATTACACCAGTGCGGATGCTCCATCCCATGTGCGTGGAAGTGACATGGATGATGGGCCTCAACCCATGACACTTCCTACGTACCTACATGTAGTCATGTAGACTCCGCGATGAACAAGGGGGGAGGGCTGGCTGCTTCTGGGATAGGAAGAGGTAGACTACCAACCTCCATCTCCTCCTCCCACGATGCCGCCTTATATCCCCCCAGCAAGCCCTCCCATCGCGACCTCGTCCCCTCCCACAGCTCACCAGCGTCCTCCGTCTAGCTCACTTGGTGCTCCTCGTCCACTCCTTTGAACCAGTCCAACCCAACAACCACACTCATTTGCAAAAGCTCCCTCACCACAAACTCCCACAATGAGGTCCTCCATCCTCTCCCTCCTCCTGGCGCTCTTCATCGCCCTCGTCGCAGCACAAACCCCCACCGCAACAGATACCACAGAAGCAACCACCTCAGTCGCAGCAGAGCAACCCTCCGGAACCCCAGAAGCCTCCGGAACCCCAACAACACCAACATCCACCGCCGCAAATTCCGGAGGCAACGCCGGCGGTGGCGGCACCACAACCGCAGCAAGCAGCAGCACCACAACCCCGCCAGCAGATGTCTACCTCAAAGTCCCCGAGCTCTCCGTCGGCCGCATCGAGCTCGACGTGGACAACCTCTCCGCCGAAGTAAACCTCGCCGCCGAGGTCGCCAAGCTCGTGACCATCAACGCGGGCGTGCAAGTCGGCATCGAAAAGGTGAACATCACCATCGTCGACGTCGAAGCCGAGTTGGAGCTCGTGATTCGCCTCGGTAACCTCGTCGATATCGTCAACCGCACGCTCGCGTCGCTGGATCTGAACCCGCTGCTCATCAACCTCCTCGACACCGTCGGTGATGTCGTTGATGATGTCATTGGTGCTGTGGATGGCTTGCTCGGGTCCATTGTCAACGGTGACTCCAAGATTAACTTCTTGATTGATAACTTGGGAAATATCGTGCAAGAGGTCACTAACGCGGGCACGTCCGCCCTTAGCTCTATCATCGGAAACTACCAGCAGAACATGACGTTCACTGGTTCCCAGCAGGACCTCGGCAATGGGTTGACGCAGAAGACGTACTCGTATGAGCCGCTTAGTGCGTTGGTGAATATCGTGGTCAACACGCTGGGCCAGGTGGTGAGGGCTACTGTGGTTAAGGGCGGCTCATCGGGGAGCGGGAGCTCCTCGGCGAGTGGGACGACGGTCGCGGCGACGACTGCTGCTGCCACGACTGCGGCTCCGGTGACGACAACGGCTGCTGCTAGCACGTGAGGTGGCTGATGTTGGTATATTGTTGTAGAAGTATGGAGTAGAAGAAAATATCCGTTAATATAACTTTATGCTCAAACGTGACTTTTGAGGTTCCGGTGAAGCATAGGTGTCGTACCATTTGAACACTTTTGCCCCCATAGCCTTCTCGACCAACTCCAGCTCGCAGACTCAAGTCAAATCACGAAACTATGAGAACTAATAACGTGTGAAAGTCATGATCAATTATCATTATAGTACGTAGTCATCATTGTCAAACTCTAATTGCCATCCTATGTCATCAATCATCAAATCAGTACGCCAGCTGTGTGCTCAATCCGTCAAGCTCACGCGCCCATACGCGGTGCTGAGCAATGGTGTAAAAGAACTGCTCCAAGAAGCCCTTGCTATTCTTTACAATCTCAACAGTCTCCTTCAGGCTCTCGGGCTGAATTGACTTCATCGTGACCACGCCGTAGCTTTCCGCGACATTGCTATCGCTAGACAAGGAAACCTCGGGAAGCGAGATGGCGGTCTGGATAAAATCAACAGCCTCACCGGTGGCAGCGATGGCCTTCAAGTGACCAAAGGCCTCACGAACCCAGTGGACAGCTCTGCCGTTCTTGGATAGAGTCTTGATGGAATCCGCACCACCGGGCACAAAGATGGCATCGACCATAGTAGATCGGAAGCCTTCAAGGTGGTGGTGGGGCACAACACCGTTGCCAGCCGTCTTGGGTGCGCCGGCAGGGAAGATCTCGGATCGGCGAGTACCAATGATCATTGGCGTAGCCTGAGCTGCCGCGGTAGCACCCTTGATGGCACCGAACGCGACAGGATCGAAGCCGTCGGCGATGATGATGGCAATACGACGCGACTTGATGGTGGGAGTCTCGGCCTCAAACTCCAGCTGGCTAAGGCCCTTGGCCTTCTTCCCGTGGTTGGGCGTGCTCGCCTTCTCGGGTGACGTCGCGCCAACCATCTCGGCAACAGCCTGAGCTAAGCCCAGGTCAATGTCAGCGAGACGCTGGGCCATACGCTCGTACACTATGGGATCCTCGCAGTGGTCCAGCTCAAAGGCGAAGGCGTTGATTGCGTGCGTCTTTTCGATTGGCGACAGACTGTTGAGGAAAAGTTGAGCTTGGCTGAAGTGGTCCTTGAACTTGGCGCTCTTGGTGCGCTGCTTCATGCCCTCCACCTTTTGGGCAAAGTCAACGTAGGCGCCGGATACCTTGGAGTGGTTCGCTGGAGGAACGGCCTCATGACGGTTGGGCCAGTAGTTGGCGTTGCCCTTTGTGATGGTTTGGCGGTGCGCGCCGTCGCGGTTGAAGTTCATGACAGGGCATACCGGCTTGTTGATGGGCAATTCCTGCCAGTTAATGCCGAGTCGGGTGATTTGGGTGTCAAAGTAAGAAAAGTTGCGGCCTTGCAGAAGAGGATCGTCGGAGAAGCCGATGCCGGGAACGACATGGCTGGTGCAGAACGCAACCTGTTCCGTCTGGGTGAAATACTCGTCGGGATTCCTGTTCAGTTCCAACTCGCCAATGTAGCGAATGGGTATCTGCTCCTCAGGCCAGACCTTTGTGGCGTCGAGGATGTCAAAGTCAAAGTCGTGTTCTTTTGACTCGGGGAGAACCTGAATACCAAACTTCCACTTGGGGAAGGCACCATTCTCAATGGCCTCAGCAAGATCCTTGCGGTGGAAATCTGGATCTTGACCAGCGAGCTTCAATGCCTCATCCCACACAAGGGAGTGGACGCCCAGCTCAGGGGTGAAGTGGAACTTGACAAAGTGACGTTCGCCCTTGTCGTTGGTGAGGGTGTAGGTGTTGACACCAAAGCCCTGCATCATTCTGTAGGAGCGGGGGATGGTGCGGTCCGACATGGCCCAACAAAACATGTGTGTAGCCTCGGTGTGAAGGTACTGGAAATCCCAGAAGTTGTCGTGGGCAGACTGAGCCTGGGGGAACTCGAGCTGCGGCTCAGGCTTGCCCGCGTGAATGACGTCGGGGAACTTCATGGCGTCCTGGATGAAGAATACGGGAATATTGTTTCCGACCATGTCCCAGTTACCCTCTTCGGTGTAGAACTTCACTGCAAAGCCGCGGACATCGCGAACAGTATCGGCACTGCCTCTGCTACCGAGGACAGTGGAGAAGCGTAGGAAGACGGGAGTCTCACGGGATGTGTCGGTTAGGACGCCGGCATTCGACACGTCGGCGGCGCTTTCGAATAGTCTAAAGGTTCCAAAGGCACCTGCTCCTCTGGCGTGGACGACTCGCTCCGGGATTCTCTCGTGGTCGAATCGGTGGATCTGTCTAGTGTTAGTGGCGGTAAGCAGCCAGATGTAAGGGACTAAGACGGACCTTTTCCCTTGCAACGGCATCCTCCAAGAGCATAGGTCCGGTCTTGTCATTACTAGATACTCTCAACCAGTCATCCGTATTCTCGATCTTGGTGCCAAAATCGGTGGTCATGGGAGCCTTGGGGTTGGCCTCGACCATGTTCTCAGCGAGCTGAGCATTCTTCTTGTTTCCTTGGCCCATGATTACGTTTCCAGCTTTCTTGAGGGTATCGGGGACAAAACTGGACATGTTTCAAGAGGAAATCAAAGAGAAGACGAGGTGTGTGTTCCTGGGGAGAGAAAGAGAGAGGAGAGGGAAGAAGTAGGAAATCAAACGTGAAAGTGCGAGCAACCACCAGATCCCACCCTCTTTATAAGCAAGGCTCGCCATTGGGTCTTTCCATGTGTTCAATTCTGTTTCCTAGTTTATTTCCAGTCGCTTGAGCTGTCTGACGTCAACGTTGTGTTACCAGTGAGTCGGGAAACCCCTCTGGCCCCCTTCAGCTTGAAGGAGTAGACAATTGTGCCTGCCCCATTGGTGGGACATTCTCCAGATTTAGACTCAACTGTCTGTCAACCGTGTCGTGAAAGGGTAGCGTCGAGAAAGCAGTCGTGTAGATATTTCGCCATGTTGATGTCAGAGTTGACATTGCCGCGTCCCAAAGCAGCCGCGAGCCCCCTTGCTACCTGCCCGTTTGCCTGCCGTGGACGCCGGAGCTGTGGTCCGGAGGGCGGAGAAAGGAGCAGAAGCTCCAGCTTTGTGGCCAATTGAATGATGCGAGACGAGAGAATAGCGGGTCCATTGCAGCCTCTTGGAGATACGTACCGCAGAGGACCGTTTCTGCCCCTTCAAAAGCCCCTCGGTGGCCCAAGCTTCTCTCTCCTTGAGCCCCAACGGCATGAGGTTCCTTTGAGATGATTGGACGTAGAGGATGCACTCCTCCATGACATTGGTAAAAGGATGCTCCTCATTCGACCGTTTTGTGGCACATGTGAGATCATTGTCCGGTCATGATTATTCGAGGTGCACTGTGTTGGTTTCCACAGGCATCAATTGCTCTTAAAGGTCCAGCTGGAGGTAGATGATGCGGCATTTCAGACTCGCAGCTCGCTCGGTGTGCTGAAAAAGAGACTTCATGGACTTCAACTTCTTCGCATAAAACCCAAGTCACCCACAAGACATAAGAGAATTTCTACTGCGTGGAAAGAACATGGATGAAGCAAACGAGTCTGCTTCCCGAGGGGTAAGATCCAATATCGTATACCTTACAGATCGTCGTCAGCCATTTCCCGCTTCGCAGGCATGGTCAAACACTCGCCAATCTTGTCAATACAGACACCGCCTACCCAGGCAGGTTGTATCAAAGCATCTCTTCTCCTCGGGCCTCAGTCTCAAAGGCAAAGCCATCGGCCCCAATTTTGGATGCTGTTTGACATAATGTCCAGACTGTGTGCGTCAGCGGATACGAGTCGCACAGGCAACTTGGGCTCTACAGGGAGTCGATGTGGTGGGTGCATGAGATCAAGACTGACAGGCCTCAAGGGCACACAATTCAAGCGTCGGTAGAAAGACCACGAAAAATGCATGTCTAACTGAGGAAATAGGAAAGGTGCACAAATAACCCAAAGAATATGGCAGGCTACTTCCAGTGTCTTTCCGAATTTTCCGCCAACACAAAACAATCAGAACCACAGGCATCACATCCGTTCATCAAAAATCAACTCTTATAGCCCAAAAATGCAAAAGATTGAGCGTTGTCACCCTCATCATTTCACTTGATGCCTCGTGGCGGAATCGAACCGCCGATCTTCTCATGTCACTAGGTACTAGTGAGACGCTATACCACTTAGCCAACAAGGCTTGCTTCCCTGGGCGGCGCATAGAGAATATGTAGTGAGACTGGCGACGAGGGCGCAATCGTTGTTGTTGTGGAGAGACATCGTCAAAGTTGACGATGCTTGAAAAATGGCAGGAAACCATTGAAAACGATAAAATGAGGCTGGAAGGTGCCACGGAAAGAAGCTTTGGCTAAAAGTTTGTTTGCCATGGTGGCACAGCGTGGCGCGACAAAGGATTTGCTGACAGCGCGCATCTGAGCGCAGATCCTGGCTGCACCAGGAGATGGGAAACGTGAATGAGCAAGCATGCACAGGCGCTTGCAGGAGTTTTCAAAAAGAAAAAGAAAAATTAATTTGTAAATTTGTGGAATTATATTGAGAGAGATAACAAAAACTTGAAGGTATCAGGAACCCAAAGTCGACGAACAAGCAGCATCAGCACTAACTGAGCCTCACTTTTGTCTCGTTGATTGTCTGAGTTCACATTGTCGTCGTTTTCCCCTTCCTGTTGGAGGACCGCTACACTAACAGACGTCGCGGCTTCTTTGTTATGGACCGCATATAAAGAGACGACAATCTGCTAAGGATAGCGTACCTCGACTCGGACCCACCCCCACCTCGAAATTTCTCCTTTCCAACCATCGCCCAACCTGCAGTCGCAACCCCGCCAAAATTTGATCGCGCAAAGGACGAATATTAACCCCGCCTACCGCCCATTCTCAGTGCAAGACCGATCAGAGGGAACTTAAGGGAGGGACGACGACATTGCGACGAGATGGTTTACTACTTCACCTCCAAGGCGGTAGACCCGGCCGCCTTCATCTACGTCGGCAAGGACAAGTTTGAGAGTATGTCTCCTCAATAATGTGAAGATGGCATCACATCACACCCTCACGATGATGGAAATGCAAGAAAAGGGGAAAGACTAAATGAAGGAAAACAGATGAGGAGTTGATCAAGTACGGCTGGGAGGAAGATGTCTGGTAAGTACACTCACCCCCTCCTCCATCTCTCATCACTCACTAACTTCTCACAGGGTACGCAAAATCTCATCTCACCACCCTTACTCACCCTCACTCTCATCACCAACCTCACCATCCCCAAACTAACACCCCCTTCAGTTCCACGTAGACAAACTCTCCTCAGCCCACATCTACCTCCGACTCCCGGACCCAAAGGACCCCAGCACAACAACCCCAATGACATGGGACGCTATCCCCGAACCCCTCCTCACCGACCTCGCCCAGCTCACAAAAGCAAACTCCATCGAGGGCAACAAAAAGGACAACATCACCATCATCTACACACCCTGGTCCAACCTTAAAAAAGACGGCAGCATGGCCGTCGGCCAAGTCTCCTTCAAGGACCAGCGCAAAGTGAAGAAAGTGCTCGTCGCGCAGCGCGAGAATCCGATTGTGAATAGGCTGAATAAAACAAAGGTTGAGAAGAAGCCTGATTTGCAGCAGGAGAGGGATGATCGGTTGAAAGAGTTGAGGAAGAGGGATCAGGCTTCTAGTCTTGAGAGGGTCAGTTCTCTTCTTCTTCTCTTCTGTTTCACAGGTCCAGCTTTCTTGAGAATTATGCTAACGGAGGAAAATCACAGAAACGGGAAGAGGCTCGCGTGATGGCGGAGCGCAAGGAGAAGAAGTGGCAAAAGGACCATGCTTATGATGACATCTTTACCGAGGAGAATATGGAGGCCTCGAACAACCAGAACCGCGACGAGAACTGGGAGGACGACTTCATGTAGTTGCCCCTATCCGTTGATCGTGCATTCTCATACCTCACAGCGGGAATATTTCTTCCATCGTAAGATCGTTTAGCCTCATCGTCTGCCTCTCTCTTTCCCAAGGATTCCCGTGTTAATGGAAAATACGCGTCCTGCTACTGACTGTCGTTCACATTGATACGATCTCATCATGCGCGCAAAAGACCAGTAAATGTAACGACTTCGCTTCATGCTTCATTAATGCTACATAATCTACTCAAAAAAATCCAAATGGGGTATTCCAAATGCAGGGCGCGGGACGCACCCCGAGGCCCTCAGCCAGTCAGCTACACATGCCGACGCCCATGCGACTCCTGCCAATGCCTATAGACTCCATCCTGCGTGATAAATCATGATTCTCGACCGAAGCAAACTTTTCCCGCTCCTGCGATGTTCCGTCCTGTTTTTTCTTCTCCTGGCCCTGGTCCTGCTTCTGACTCTGGTCCTGTTCTTGGTCCCGGTGTTGACCTTCTTCCTTCTTGGTACCGCGTCCCCGCGGAGGGGCGCGTGACCGGACGAGAACAGGTAGCTCGTCGTCGTCTCCTTCCTCAGAAACGACATCCAAATCATCGTCATCCTTGGGATCTAAAAAAGGCGACGAAGAAGGCTCGTCGTCTCTGTATGTCCCCTCATCTTCCTCCTCCTCGTCACGACCTTTCAGGCTGACAACGGGTTCACCGCCGGGTAAGCCGACCTCCCGAGCCTCAAGCGCCTCCGCAATATCCAAAAGCAAGACGTCCATCGGACAAATATACGCGACACGCTTCCGCCCGCTCCACGCCAAGACGTGCCCGCAAACCCGTCCATGGGCGCGTTCCACGACCCAGGCGCCGCTGTCTCCGGGGATGCCCATGGGTTGCCTCTTGCCGCCGCCTGTCAACTCGGCAGGCGTCTCGATGGCGGCACTGCTGACCTGGTAAGTATGGCTAGGCGTCGTACGCCCAAAGATTTTGACGCTCGTCAATGCGGGCAGAATGAGACCCGTCTGTAAACCGCTGGTACGCGCCATGCACTGCACCTCTAGGCCGGGCAGCGCGGTAGTCGGCGCCACGGTCATGGGGTGCATGACTTTCCCCTGCTTTGAGGGGAATTTCCCGTACGAAGGCGACAACTGCTTGCTTTGGATCCTGGGTATCGAATTGTCCTCTGGAAGTCTCTCCTCGGCGAACTCGAAAAGCGCCCAGTCGATTTCGTGGATGAGTCCGTTCTGCTCCCTCCTCTTAATGCCACTCGATGCGTAAACCTCGCCGACGGTAAAGCTGTCCAAGTGATCTTCGTTTGCCGTCTCCGCCGAAGCATAAAATTCCTCGTCAACGTCGTCCATGGCGGGCTGCGTGATGATGTATCCATCGCCACAGCCCGGCTCAACACCAGGGATATCGCCGGGTTGGTCGTATTCGCCCTCCGACTCGTCACCGCTCTCCTCCTCATCCGACGCCTCGCTAGTGACATCCGTCTCCGAATACGCTTCAGATTCCTCTGATTCCGAGAACTCGCAAGCATAGTCTTCACCACCGCTACTTTCCGCCGACGACTCTGCGTACCAGTCGAAACGAATGTCTTCAGCATCTCTCGCCATACTACGCATCGTCGGATCCTGAGCTTTCGTGTGCTTGTAAATCTCCTCGGGGTCATCCAGCATGTGGTGAACCGTCATCCCGTACGGCTTGTCGTCGACTACAACGAGGCCGCCCAAGCTAACGGGCGGCAGGTGGCGGTCCCCCACCCAGGCTCCAATACTCGCGCCATTGCTCGGGCGCGCTTGAAAATCAGGGTTGGCTGCCTTGACTGTGTCGTCGTCGCCTTCATCGTCATGTGCCGCGCTTCTTTTGGGGTCGCCGGCCTGCTTCCTTGACCGCAGAACCTGTCCCTTGCAGACCTTCAACCCGAACCCAGACTTGCCCTCGAAGAGCTCGCCCAACTTGCGCGTCAGAATGGCCTTAACCTTGCTGACAGACGTGCACACAACCAGAACTGTAGGCTGCGTCCTTGTTGGCGAACTACCGATGGACTCGAGGGAGACTTCGACTGACTCCTCGCGGTGTTTGCGGTAAAAGTGGCGCAGTGCTTGGTTGACTTGAGGCATCACCAGCGTGTTCCACTTTTCAACAGCATCGGGAGGCAAGGGGATCTGCGGGTAGAGGCGTGTCTTGGAAGAGGGTGCCTTGGCAGGCTTCGACTCGGCAGGGAGCTCCACCAGGCCAGCTGTGGTGTTGTTAGTGCTGAAAGATTCAACTCCGAGGTGTGGTACTTACTCTGAACTTCCTGTCTGGCAAGCTGCCGCTTCTCCTCTGCAGCTGAGGGGTACGAACGGCGCGCAGAGCTGGGTTCCGAGATGGGAGTCTTGGTGTCAAACGAGGAGCGGCGAGTGTCAACGGAAGGTCGTGTAACCACCTGGGTCTCAATCGAGGGTCCTGAGATGCTCTGGCGGGTAGGTGTGCCGATAGGGGACACGGATGTCTTCTTTCCAAGGTCGAGGTTAAGACGATCTTCGAGAGAGCTGATATTGTCTAGTATGGCGCATGAGTCGAGGTAGCGCGTGACACTGACTTGCACAGCCGAGAGAAGCTCGTCGTCGGAGGTGCTTCCTTGAAGTGAAATATCAACAGCTGTCCAGCAAGTCTCCACGGCCCTCTTATAAAGGGTGGAGCAACGGATTCCCAGCTGGTTCAACACCGACTCGGGAATCGGCTGAGAGGGGTCGGGCACGAGGTTATCGAGCTTGGTCCAAAGACCGATAGACAACAGAACCATGGCGAGAGAGTACAGATCGAGTATACGAGAGTCCATCTTGTCGTTGATGGGCGATGCCGGAGTGGTGCGAGGATCCAGGGGGTGTCGGAACAGCGGAAGCGATGGCGAGGCTGGCTCATCGTCCGAGGGAGCATCTGGGAACAGATCAAAGGATGAGATGAGTGGCCGGCGGATATCCACCTCGCCGGGGCCCGTGGTCAAGTCGGGAGTAGACATATTACAGAAAGACACATTCTTGTCGATAATGCATCCGTGGGTAATACCGCGGGCGTGCAAGTCGAATACGGTGTTGACGAGGTTAGATGCCAAACGATACTTGGCCTCCAAGGTCGGCTCAAAGTCTGGTCGTGACAAAAGATCGGCGAGCGTGCAGACATTGTAGAGGGGGTTCTGGGTAAAGTTCTCAAAAGAGACGGCGTTGAAGTTGGGCGGGAAGTGATAGACGAGTCCGAGGCGGGCATGCTCCAGATCCTCAAAGTAACCCAGGAGTCTCGGCAGACCGATCCAGGTACCCGGGGCTCTCTGCGAGTCCTGCTGCAAGCCGGCTGACAACTTCTCGAAGCGCGACATGGGAGGCATGATGCCTGTGATGGCGTACATGGAATCGAACGTCGCAAACTCTAACAAGAGCGGCGCAAAGGGTTGGCGCCCAATGTGTTGCGACAGATCTGACCAGGCCTGCTTGCTCATGAAGACGATGTCGCGCGGCGGAAGGTTAGCCCTGGACTCGGTCATGGGCTCGGCCTGCATGGAGCGAATGTTTGTCAAAGTTGTCGGGTCGATTTCTTGAGGCGTCTGCATCCTGGTGGACTCAAAAGGCCGCAGCTCCTCGGTGGAGGCCATGGACTTTTCAAGCTTGGAACGCGACGACATCTGAGCGGATGAGCGTGTTCTAGAAAGGTCGTAGAGTGTATCGACAGACTGAGTGAGGTCTCCAATGGCATCTGCAAATACTGCCTTGTCCCAAGTTACAAAGGCCTTTTTGCGATCTGCCGACTTTTCTGAGACGGTGCCTAGAGGGTTGGTATAGCTCTTCCATAGGGCGTCCAATTCTGACAGCGTTTCCCGAACAGTCGAAAGGATACTGTGCACAACCTCACTCAGACCGGCTTTTGATAGTGAGCTATCAATCTCATCAGACTGGTTAGGATCTGTCCACTCGATACCCCAGGTCGATACGCGGTCCTTTTGGATGCGGAGCTTTCTGAAGAGTGACTTGATTTCAGGGTCCTCGGGGGCCTTGACTGGTTCCTGAACAAAGTCTGAGGACTTTTTTGTGTCATTATACAGACGACTCAGGCGTCGCTGCATGTAGCCGCCAGTAGAACGAATGCCCTCCATCTTGGCGGTTGGAAACAGTGTGCAGATTGAGGACAAAGAGGTGAGCCCCTCACCAGCAAGGCGGGGGTGAGACTTGAGAGTGTCGAAGCCAGGGAAAGTGAGCTCTGCTCGTGAAAATTAAATAATGAGTCTACGAGTCGCTCTTCACAGTAACATAATTCAGGGACTGTGTTGGCAAGGCGCCTCTGAAAAGGCTCCGGAGGTGATGATGAGAAGTCGGGACTCGGGGTCGGCGCTGTGAATATCGGAAGCGGACGAGCCAGGTTGTGCGGGCGGCGGGGCTCAGTTGGCGGGTGAAGGAAGGTACGAACTGTGAGTGGTCGTGGGTGGACGGGGGTACGTATACAGCAGTCCGCAGCGCAGAGAAGCTGAAGTGAGTGATTACGCGGCAAGGGTTTGGTTGCGTAAGTATGCAAGTTGATAATAATAGCTGGTTCCAACACTGGTGATTTCTAGTTTGTTGGTTTGCGTCGTCGTGAGATGGCCAGCCTTGTTGATGAAGTGAAAGAAGCAAGTGCGAGGCAAGAAAGTAAAGAGGGAAGAAGATTGCATCCAACACTCGTGGGCCCCGTCGTGGTCATCAAGGAAGTCCAAGGAGACGTAGGCACGTAGAATATGGGCGCCAACGAGTGGATGGAGGCCGAGGGGTGGTGCTAAGGTACCTTATGGTAGGGGACCAGGTGCGACCAAAGATCCAGCCTACCTAAGCCAAGCAGAGGACCCGAGACTGCGGGAGGAAGGATTGGATTATTTCGGTGCCTACAGACCACAGTTTAGGGACGGACGGTCTTTACCCTTTCCTGTCGATAATCCATCAGGTATCCGTCCACCGTAAGGTACGGACGGGGCGCGGCTGTGGGCACGACAATGGTTGGACTCGAACTAGCAGAGGCCCTGCCGTGCCCGCTCAGGACGGACAGCAAGTGAGAATACTGAGAGGCGGAGACTGGTTCGAATTGTGGCTTGCAGTGGTGGACGTGACACGGGGTTAGAGATGGCAATTGGATGTTGGTGATACGGATACTGGCTGTGGATCTTTGATGAGACGAGGAATTGAGGCCCCGCCAGTTGTGTGAAAATGTGCGACATTCAATTGCGATGCGCTGCGCTTGCGACGGAAGGTGCGCGCGGGCTACTGGCTGCTGGCTGCTGTGTCGCTCCTGCCGATTGCTGGCTGGCTGGAAATGCTGCTGCCTGAAGGAGGAGGAGCGCCTTTGGGACATGCTTGCCTCGCTTGTCTCGCTCGTTTCGGCTAGACCCATACTTTTGGATAGTATCATTGGCCATGGAAATCCTGGAGCCTGCGGTGTGGGTCTCTCCCGGGCAATCGGGGCTGAAGTTGCCGGGGGCGAGAGTACGTATCTTTTCTACCTCATCCTTCCTCTTGCCATCAACATTCACCGACCAGACCATGAACACCCAGATTGCATTGACATTCGACCTTGACATTCGTGGTTTAACATGGAAAGTCAATACCTACATATGGATCTTGGCACTCCAAAGTACGAGAGTACCAGTCAGGAAGCACATGTTCAAAGTTTCACTGCTTCTCCTTCCCCAAGACATCATACTGGTTGATCATCTTATATTGGGTTCTCACATGCTCATTCTAGAATTACGAGATAGGAAAACGCAGATAAGCTCCCTCCAACATGTCTACGATACCGTGGATAATACCTAGTGTCTGTACGCCGTATACAGTTGGCCCGTCTTCTCCATTTCCGGGCACCGATTCACTGCTTTCCCTTCTTACTGGGCATCTCTTACATGGCAATCCACTTGTCCATAAGATACGGATACGCTACGTCTGATCAGCACGCACATCCTCGGGAACGCATCGAACTAAGGCTCGGACTACCTCCCACCAGGACCACTAACCTTAGCTCCCTCTGACAATACTATGCCTGGAAACGCCCCAAGTTGGCTGCTTTCTCATCAGTCATCGCCATCCTCCACAGTCCATATTGAGCAATCCTGAGTAAGCTGAGGCTCGTTTTACGCTTTTAGTGTCTCCCCTATCCCGGCTAGCATCTCAAGAAATACCAAGCAGCTCCAGCAACGCACAACAGCTGAGGAGCGGACAGCGGACCGCCACCTGCACTAACCCTGTCGCCATTCACGGCTGCCTTGCCCGGATTTGCTGTGCTCTCACCCTCTGTTCGTTCTCTGTTTCGCTCTGGTGTACGAGGACCCCCATCAAGGATACGGACACTGCAGACGAATGCTGGGCGTCTGAACGGAGGCCGTGTCCGCAATCCAAGGGTTAAGGTACTTCAGTCGCTGGCACAAAACTCATCTTACCTACTTTGGTCACTCAATGTACCAAACGCCCCAGGTCTGGGATACACGTACCAACAGATCGTGAAGGTTTAGACGGGGGACCTGTCACTGACTCTCTTGGCATTCAGGCACATTGAGGCGTCTCTCGTTCCCTCATCCAGGGCTCAAGTTCCTCCTCTGCAGCCGCGACTCGAGGCCGCTCCCCGCCAATCCTTTCCTCCTATTAATGGAAGACCGCTTCCAGATGGGAACTTGAGTATCCGTACTCAATATTCGTAATTCAGGAAGACCTTCCACCCGGACAGGCAGCGGCTCCGTTACAGAAGTCCATTTCTCTACGGCACTTGGCGCTGCCCTTTCCCTCCCTAGGTCCCGCTTCCAGGAAGGTCGTTGGCGTCCTCCTCTTTTTTTTTTTTTTATTCGGCTGCCTAAACACTAAAAACCTCGTCGAGTGAGAGTCATCCACATTATCTCCGACACCACTACCGCAGACTGCAGTAATCGTCTTTTCATATCCACATCGCGGCACCCGGCAGCTTTAATTGCCCATACATCCCCGGTTGGAATGACAGACTTTCGTCAAGGGGGCCCCCTCTTCGAATTCTCAGAGGTCCCTCAGGAACTTCGAAGAGGGGCATTCGTACTGACTACGAACACTCGTACTCTGGAAAGATCCGTCACTAGCTCATCTCGTGGTTGCCGTAGGCCTGTAGCAGGGTCGGGACGAGGACTGACAGGAGCCTATGAACACGCCAGCTACACGATCTTCTGCTTGCCCAGTCCATCATGTCAGCTATCTCTCCAGACGACGAAAGATCCAAATACATGAAGGACCCTTTCGTAGAACGACTTCAACGTCTTCTCGGCCTGTCTCATTTCAGAGTGACGCAAACGGGGTCCACGATACGCTCGGTCCGACTATAAAGCACCACACTGGCACACACGCAGGGCCGACAAAGAAAAAAGGTGTTGGAAATAATTCTGCTGCCTGCTCGGCAGTCGGATGTGAGACTGCAAATCGCAAGTAACCGACTACATACTCCGTACAATCTTTGCGAGCGGGCGAATCCCAAGGCTTCCCGCTTGCCCCATCCATTCGCTTCTGCAAGGTCAGCATGGGGGCCTGGCTCGTGCCATCTCTACATCGGTAATACGTCTGACTCTGATTGATGACCGATATCAAGCCATGATGGTGGAAAGCTGGTTCCGACCTGGTGTTCTGTTGTTGTTGTTGTTGTTGTATTTAACGCCGTGGCGGCCGGGCTAGAGCCCTTACCGCAGACCTCCCGAAGGGTATATGGCGTGGAGGGCCGTGAGCCAAGGCTACCTACTCTACAGTACGTCGTCTCTTTACATCGTCCTCCAAATCATGCCTTGTGGCCACTACGCGTTCTGTCTGTCCCCGGTTCCCGCTGGTGCCCCAGTTTCATTCTTTCCCAAATCGTCCCTTGGAATCGGGAGGTTCTTTGTAGTCCGCACTCACATCTACGTAGGTGTGGATGCTGCTACCGCAGACAGATCTTCTGGAAGAAGTCCGTCACGCGGAGAAAGGCCTCGAAGCCTCGTGGGTCGGTGATTAATCTCTTGAAGTAGGCCTCGAGAGATCCCATAGGGCCTATGGGCTCGGGCATACTGCGAGAGTGGAGGGTCGGCCACCGTTGCCTCCTCGCCAGCGTTAGTCGACAGTAGACCAGGTGGTCCACGTCTTTCGCCTCTCCACAAGAGCACATCATTAGAGCGTCGTCGTGGTTGAAACGTCGGTGATATTGCTCGAAGTCCCCGTGACCCGATCGTGCCGCCAGCAGGTGATGTAACGTAGCCCGCGGCAAGGCCAGTTCAGGAGGGCTGGACAGAGCTGCCTCAAGCCCCAAGTCCGCGTACCGCGGCCTTCGCTCTTTATACCACCATCTCCTGTGCTGGCTTTGTAATTTTTCCCTTGCAAGCCGCTTGATGCCCGCTAGTGTTGCCATTTGACCCATCCGCGCCGGCAGTGTCGTTCCTTCTTTGGCCAGCCGGTCCGCGGCCTCGTTTCCTTCGATGCCCTGGTGTCCCGGGGACCAGTGCGTCCGTATATCAAATATCCTGGCCGCTTCTTGGATTTCGAGGAACGCGTCTTGTGACGAGTCCGGCGCCTTGCCGCGGATGCCTTGTATAACGCTGGTGTTGTCGATACATATGTGGATTGGATGACCGCGATTGGTGAGCAGAGCCCTTCTGAGGCCGGTTCGCGCCCCTTCGACCTCGGCGTCGAACACTTCTGCTAGTCCGAGTCGGCCGCACCCTTGTGCTATGCGTTTGGAGTCTCGGTAGATGACGAAGCCGTACCCCACGGCTCCGTTCGTCGCCCTGGAGCCGTCCGAGAAGACGATCATATGGCTTTCCGGTACTGTCTTTAGCCAGCGCTCGAAAGCTTTCGCAGCCTCTTCTTTGCATTGAACTACTATCTGATCCTGTGAGCTTGGCAGGTACTGTGATTGAAGGAACGCTGGTCTTCCGCATCTTGGCAGAAGTTCAGCCGTCCGTTGTAGTCTCGTCTGTTGCTGTCCCTGCTGGGAGAGCCGCGCGACTAGCGGGTGTCGGCGATCAATCCTCTGTAGTCGGACTGCGGCCCGTAAGCGGACGCCCTCTAAGGCGACTTTGGCTGACGGTAAGCCGGCGTCTCGGAGGAGGCTACTGGTTGGCGTTGTCCTCCAGACAGGCAGAACGGCCCTTGCTGCCGCTGTAATGACGCTGTCGATCTTCTGCACGAGCCCCTTTTGGCCTGTGTTGACGGGTCTTCCTTGGAGAGGCGGATTCGTGTCTGTCTCCGCTTGGCGTCTCGAAGCCGGCTTCGTGATACCTGCGTACCATGTTTCGGCGCCGAAGAGCGCGATCGGCAGTACGCAGGAGACGACGGCTTTTCGCACGGCGGCCGCTGGGAGTCCCCTCTTTGTGTTCGTAAGCTGTCTCAGATGTTGAGCTGCCCTCTTTGCTGCAGCTACTTTTGCGTCGACATGGTGCCGGAAGGACAGTCTCTTGTCGAACCAGACACCCAGCCAGCGTACAGGTTTCGTCGAGGCCTTGACCACCAAATCCCCCGCCCGGACCTCTGGCAGCTCCGCTGGCTGGCCGTGCTTCCTAGTAAAGTGGATGACCTCGCACTTGCTCGGGTCAAAGGAGACCTTGTTCTCCAAGCCCCATCTGAGAATGCCGGCTGCGCTTCGGTTGAGTATTGCGACGTTGCTCTCCAGGGAGGGGCTGATGGCCAGAGTGGCGATGTCGTCCGCGTACCCGAATCGCGCGTTCGGGTCGTCTTCAAGTATCTCTGCGATGTAGAGCAGAAAGGCAATGGGAGATAGTGGTGACCCCTGAGGCAGCCCGCATGACAGCGGGAAGTACTCCGTTGTGCTTTCTTCCAGTCGGACTCTAGCGGTGCGGTTGCAGCAGAAGCTAAAGATCAGTCTGGTCAGGCCATGTGGCCATCCCTGCTGACGCAGTCTAATGACGAGCCGGTTCCGAAGGACGGAGTCGAACGCCCCTTTTACGTCCATAGTCAGAAGTGTCGCCGTGAGTCCTTTTAGGAGGGCCATCTCGATGTCGTGGGTGAGGCAGGTCGTCAGATCGACGGCTGACCTGCCTTGTAGAGCCCCGATCTGTTGCGGACTGATGATGCGCTCGACAATCGCCAGGGACGCCATCCTTCTGGCTATCAGTCGCTCTAGTCCCTTGCCCAGGCACGAGAGGAGCGCGATCGGCCGCCAGGACCCGGGCTTGGAGGCATCCCTGCCGGCCTTCTGGATCATGACCACCTCAGCTCTGCGGAAGGGCAGAGGAAAGTGGCCGGCCCGCATACAGGACTGGAATAGCTGCCTGACCGGTTCCGAGATGACATCCCAGCATGCCTGGAGGAGGCGTGTTGTGATGCCGTCCACACCAGGGGTCGTTGTCTTTGTTAAGGTGGCCGTCTTCACTTCTTCTCCGCTAACATTGTCCTGCCAAGTAA